GTAAACCTTTTTTTATATAAAATTAGATGAAAAAAATGTATACATTTATAAATATAGCATTTAAGTATATACATTTATATTTTAACACACACACACATATATATATATGTATATGTAAAAATATAAATGTACATATTTAAATGCTATATTTATAAATATTGTATAATTTTATTTTAATATATATATATATATATATATATATATATATTATAAGTATAATGTTAGTTATATAAGTATTTATCTAGAATGGTTTTGCTGAAACTGAAAATATCCTGCACGAGATGACAGTCATCATCACAGCTATTCAAATCTTAAGAATCGTTCAACAATACCACATTAGGAAAAACGTATTCCTCTACAACACACCCGGCACAATACTTCATTACACACCCAGCATATTTTCCATGATGATAGCTGGCTGACGCTCAAGAGCGCTGTGAGTTACTGCTCCACCTGCAGGAGGACACACACAGTGCGTCTCAGAAAAACTGCAAGCTAGCCAGGACTAGGGGGCAATAGAGTGCAAATAATCATTCAGCTCTGTTGGTAATGAGGTGCTAGGGAGACAGTAAGCACAGAACAGCAGGTCTGAGGTCAGTTTTATAGAGTGATTCGAGATGATTAAAGTCAAAGCTGGGGTTTGTGGCCATTCAAAACCTGACAGCTCAGCGTACAGAACCAAACACTTAACCAGGAGCGAAGAGGGAACGGAATCTGAATGCAGTCGTAAACATGGCAGGCACGCATGCTTGTAAGGAGAGTGTGGAGCGGGACCAGCCCACTGCCATCAGGCCAGCATTTAGTGCAGCAGGAAAACAGACGGCCTGGCTGGGCTCCATGGCGGCCCACAGCTTAGCAATTAGAGACCTTCCAGCTTTGACTGGAGAACAAACAGACTTAAAAAAAAAAAAAAAACTAACCGACTCCCCGTAACACTTGGCTACAACCCGCCTAATGCATCTCAGCAGAAAGAGATCTATGTTCCCACCTGAGAGGGCAAAGACCAATGGAAAATCCCATAGTGGCCATAAAAGCCAATGTTGCGTTTCTACGCTGGGCCGCAGTGTACAGTCTGGAGTTTTCCTGGCAGTCAGCTTACTGCCGCCGTAATTCACAGCACATAAATCTAAACGGTCATAACGTACAGCAGAGCTTCAACGATGATGAAGACTGAGACGAAAGAGAGCGGGAGAGAGAGAGAATGACAGACGATCTCCTCTCTCTCCTTCCTTAAGATGATTCGAGCAGCGACTGGGCAGAAGTGGATGCAAGGCTGAGCGCTGAGAGGTTACAGCTCGGACATCGAGCCATTAGGGGAAATCACTTAGAGGACTGGCTGCGAAGGGACGGCTGATGGGAAATGAATCAGGCAGGAGCCAGAGTTGGAGTTGGAGCCACAAGGGACCATTGATTCCAAGTCGGACGAGATTCTGGATCCCGTAGACAAACCACCTGCTTTAACCCTGCTGCTTTTTCTCTAAGGTTGAGCTAAGGTCACCGGCCTGACCCCTGGAACACGATCCTGAGGTGTGGCGCTTTATTCGTGCTTCCTGCCAAGGCTGGACGAGCACTGATGCATGTCTGCCAATGGGAAGGCAGAGTAAGGACGGCTCACACAGGGATAAACTAACAGGGACGTACAGTACAGGTTTGTGAACTGTATGTTTCACCTGAGCGTATAGCTCTCGATAGAAGTGTCAGGAATGCAGTTCCGATGATTAATTGTAGCGGTCTCCTCCAACTCTAAGAGTTAAGCATCCCTGCCAATCTATTTTTCCCTTTCTTTAATGTTGACAAAGCTTTTTGCCCCAAACACTGCTGAGTAAATGTTCATACTGCAAGCATCCGCAATTTGCAAACAGTTTGTCCCCCTCAAATATACTATTTTCCCCTAATCCTCTGTGCACCTGCAATTTAGCTTTCAGTGTGCAACAGCTCTTTTTCCTGCCCGCTCTCAAATAAAGAACAGCGCACTCATCAAAACAAGCTCCATCTGAGACACAGGAAACAGTCAGACTCAGCTCTCTCCAGGGGGAGGCAGATTGCCCACGGGCTGCACAGCGCTAGGACAATCCACAGAACAAAAGGAAGCAGATCAGAGACAGTACGTTCTGAGATTCTCTTGGCATTTATGAAATAAAAGTGATGTGGTATCACTAATTGTTTTAATATATACAATTGACTCAAAACTAAATTACTTTAATCAAGCTTTGCCTTTCAGCCTGGGAAGCAACTCAATTGTCCGTCCCTTGCTAAACAAAACTAATCTGAAATCGGATAAGACTTCCTGTTGTGCTCGAGCAAAAGCCACCCTGCGGCGTGATGTTGTTGAAAAGTAATACAATGCCTGAGCGTTTGCCTCCTCCTGCTGGCTGCCAATGATACTGCACCTACTGTTCACTAGACCAGAGGCAGCTGCTCCATACTTTAAAAGGGATACTCCACTTTTTTTGGAAATGGGCTCATTTTACAACTCCCCCAGAGTTAAACTGTTGAGTTTTACCGTTTTCGAATCCATTCAGCCGATTTTCTGATATTTAGAAGAATATCAGTAACCAGACAGTTTCTGGTCTCATTGACTTCCATAGTAGGAATACTATGGAAGTCAATGAGACCAGAAACTGTCTGGTTACTGATATTCTTCTAAATATCAGAAAATCGGTTGAATGGATTCGAAAAACGTAAAACCCAACTGTTTAACTCTGAGAGAGTTGTAAAATGAGCCTATTTCCAAAAAAAGTGGAGTATCCCTTTAAAACACTGTCTGGCACACATTAAGTCACCTCTTAAAACAGAAGTGACTTTCATTACAATGACATAAGTATATTGCAGAGATACAAGCTAGTATTTTATGTCCAGATATTTGGTACATTGCAAGTAAAAAATATAAGCCAACTAAAATAAAAAAAATTTGCAAGTCCATATTTGTCACAAGATGGCAGTGTTATACAAGTATGAGTTTATGCAGTGATCAGGTTTTTCCAGGTTAGCGTGGCTCATTCCCTTATCCCCTTCTTGGTAAATGGTAACTACACAGTCTCATACTAAAAAGCTTCTTTTTTTTAATTAGCAGTGTATTCTGACTAATACATAGTGGATTGTTGTTCTAAACATTTTACATTTATATTCCATGAACATACATTAAACCGACAGATGGGAAAGTTCAGTAAATTCACACTATACCCTGGCTATAGAAAATAAACTAGCGTGTGCATATGACCATCAAACCCTGTCAGAAGCCATTCGTTCTGGCCATTCATTTAAAGGACAACGCCGTTTTGAAGTAGGTTTCAAAGTGCAAGTTAGAAAAGGGGTTTTGAAAGCGATACCGTTATCAACTCTGTGTAAACGTAAATCTGTGAAAACGGTGACAGCATGCACATGTGTATTTAGGCATTACCACATGTACAGAGAGAATTATGGATATTCATTTTATAATTTGCACTGAATATTTTCATTGAACAGTGTCAATAAATTGCTACTTTTTGTTGCATGAAAGCAAAGATAATCTAAATGTAAAAATAAAGGAAACAGTCATGCAAAAATCTACAGCTATAAATTCAAACAGTTCTACAATAAACAAAAAACTAACAAAAACAACTGGACAGAGGCTGAGAGATCAAGTTGCTCACTTGATCACATGCTTAAATGCACAGGCGAATCATACAGTATATACAAGGTTTATCAAGTGTCGTGATTAATGAAGATCACGTATGGCCTGGCTGTTTGCCTTAGTGTCAGTCAAGCCAAGCCAACATCTCTGATAAGGACAATAAAACAAGAAGGGAACGAGATAGGATTCAAAACAGTGCAGAGTCACCCAATTAGACCATTTCAACCTGAAGCAGTCGCACAGTACATGAAATGCATGCAAGTGGTTAAAAAAAAACGCAAAGAATCGACTGTTAAGGTCATTGAACGAAGTGACACATTCAGAGCAGCCACAACAATAGGTGCTTTGGATCAAGTCCTTGAAGGTTAAGTGTTTGATATACGCCTCCGCACTGCTTTAGACATATAACAGGCCTTTTCTAACTTCTGTGTGTTTTTTGAGTCGGCTTGGACCGTTTTAAGCATATGAATCCTTTAAACGCAGTGGGGTGTCGGGTGGTCCTTGCTTTCTCTCAGTGGTAAGCCACACTCATTTCTCTTCATACAAGGCAAAAGAAGAGAGGCCTACAGCTTCAAACATAATACTCGGTGACAAGTGCTCTGTGCTTTAGTTCCTACCAGAAGAATTACCACAAGCAACCTACATTAGGAATCTCAAGACAGCAAAGCAACATTTCATGACCGAATCAATCATTTAGCATGGTTTGAAGTTAGTGGCCCACAAGAGATAATCATTAGCAAACTTAATATCTCACAGACATCTGTGTGCATAAGCCAGGAAGGAACAGCCCAATGAGTTAGACAATATTCAATATTGTTTCAAATTTTACATTGTGATGCATTGTTGAGGCTTGCACCTAGAGGCATTTGAGCTACGTCCATTGGTGACGCCCCTTTGGAAATGATTTTTCTATCAAGCTTTGCCATAACTCAGTTACAACTGAGAATGCTCTGGTTTTAACCAGGCTATGAGTACACACAAATTTGTGCGTGAAATGTGAAATGTACATACAGACAAATAGAGAAACATCACCAAAACATTTTGTAATATGTATTCTAAATTTATGAAAAAAATATATGAACTGAAACCACACATATGCAAAAAGCACTTACTCTGTACGACCATATAATAGTGTAAAAGTTATATTTCATCCTTCATATTGAATTATGTTGCATTCTTTGTATTATATAATCCATATATAAAATTTTATGATAAAATCAATAAATAATAAAATTTCATCAAATAAAAAAGCTGCAGAGATTCTTCATGAGAATTTATCCTGTGCGTACAAATATGAAACAATCCATGTAATTATAAGTGAATGAGACCCACTTTCCAGTACTGAGAGGAAAAAAAAACAATATACTAACAGATAAAAGACACTTACATTTCCTTGTGTTTCTCCTCTGCTAAAATCTGGTCATTTGTCTTAAGTCCATACCTGTAAGACACACAAAGAAAACGCATTTTGTAACTGCAGATTTACTCATCAAGAACAGGAAAATAATAAGCCAAGCTTTCATTTTTCTAGGTTAAATTCTGATTAAATTCCACTCAGTGACATTAGTGGCATACTAATTATGGTCAAAATATGACCCATTTTGAATTTGTCATGTTTTGTTTTCACTATTCACTATGAAAAGCTAAACATCTTTAAATTTACTCTCAAACAGATTTCGTCAATGAACAATCTACAGAGAACAGATCGGTCCACCCATGAGATAAAGAATCAAGATAAGCACATGTGACAGCTTATTTTACTAAGAAGCCTGTAGGTGAAGGTCTTAGGCCTAAGCCAAAATAAAGCTTATTTCTTTGAGCCACAATCGCCTCATCAACTTAAAACATCATTAAATGAGTCTTTTTATGTGCCTGCTTCATTTTATACTGAACTCTGTGTCTGATTCCATCCAAGAACTGCATTTACAAAACATGGTCAATTATGAGTCATTCATAATAGAAGAAATAGAACTTGTGGTGCATTTAAAAATGAAAATTATTAGACGGCTCTCTGAAGTCTGCGTTTATGGTACAAATGGTCAAAACAGTTCATCTAATAAGGTGCAATTTTACATCTGAAAAGGATTATGGAACAAGACACTGACTCATCACAACTACTGGAGACTAAGATTTTAAAAAAATCTTACCGACCTTTCACTTTTGAAGGGTATGCATGTAAACTAGTGGGATCTTGGTAGTGATTTTCTCACAAATGAAAAGAAAGGTTGACAAATTAACCAGATATAGTCAAACCCTTATTTGACAGCAAAAAAATATATTTTAGAGAACATAATAAGTGACCAAGTGACATTACTGAGATTTAGTTGTCCTGATTGAGCAATTTTATTTCAGTTTCCCATAGACCAATCAAATTGCTCAAGTCGCGAAAACAATTTTATATTACCTTAAAAGTCTTAAATTTGGTGTTTGGTCAATCATGTGCTGGACCAATTTCTAATCATTAAAAAGGCAGCTTACTGATCTCTCTTAATGCATTTTAGTAATCTATTCTTTGACTCTGCCCTGCAAACATCAGGTCATGCAACTAAACAAACTGCTCCACACTTGGAATAAATCAAATGGAAATCATTAAAGTCAAAGTCTGCCACAGGTCCAGCTGTTCTGTCTGAAACAGCAGTTTTAAGATTGTTACCCAACCTGTTTGCAAAAGTATTGCCTGTTAGGATACAATGAGCTGTAGTTTGACCATTTAAAGATATAAATACTGTTCATTTTATCACACAAATCACTTGTTTCGTGTCTTAGGCCATCAATCTGTACTTACATTTACGAGTCATTAAATCATGTTTAATTTGGACTTCTCTGTGCATGCTCTTTGAGGTGGTGACCATAGACCTCCATTATATGACTGATAGACAACAACGCCAAAGGTTTGACCGAAAAATATCAAAATTGAAAATACTGTGGAAAGAAAGACCTTGAGGTAAGCTAAAACATATCAAAAATTAATTTCAAAGTGAGCTATCCCTTTAATGGCAAGACGGCACTGCCAGTGTGTTTGAGGTCATGTATGGAGGGAGTGAGTGGGCAGAGGGGTTTTGTTTTATGACTAGCATTAGCGCAGGAGATTTCCTCTCAGGCTCAGTGTCTGTGCCACTTTCCTCCTTAAAGAACAAGGACCCTTGGCCTAATAAACACTGTAGGTTTAAAAAATAATAGTATGTACCCAAAAGCTATTGGGCTTTGAATGTCAGTTCAATCCTAACATGGGCTGACCAAAGATTAACCACCATGTGACATCTTTATGCAAATGTACAGCAGTGTCTAGCCATCTTATCAAACAGATTCTCCATGGGACTTACTTGTCTAGGAAGTCTTTGTCCACCACAGCACAGATGTCAAGCAGGGGGTTTCCCATCCCGAAAAGGGCATTTTGACTGCAAAAAGAAAGACATGTGCATCCAGTTAAAACATTAAGAAAACAATCGAGTAATCCTGACAACAGACACAAGCAGTTACACTACAACATAGGGCTTTTATGATTCACTTGCAGACTATTTTCAGCATCCCTCCCCCCCCAAAAAACAAAAAAATGTGCATAACTCAAGTATTTTCTCTTGAGGGGTAAAACTGTCTGAACCAAACATGAATTCAGCACGAAAACATGGAAGATTCAGTCAAGCATAAACTGCAGAACATTACATAATTAAACAAACAAAAAAAGGTTCTCAGTACTTTTTTCCAGACATATTTGAGCTTCAAGTAAAATTATGTTTTGACTAGGAGTTGCAAAATTACTCAGTATTGTTTTATCCACACAAAAAGTCATGTCATAAATGATTTAAAATAGGCACTAAAACATTTAAAGAAGCATTATACAGTCACTACATCCACGGACCAACCATTCAAGCACGTGGCGGAGTGAATGACTGACCGACTGTCCATTGACCCTGGATGAGACATGTGGTGGAGACCCTAAGATTAAAACGTTGCCTCTAATCTATTGTTGACAGATGTGATAAAATTACTAATTTTGCAATGTGTGATGATAAAAGACGATTAATTATTCTATATTGTTATTAAATGAAAAGAAATAACGAAGCACTTACAAATAGTAGAAACAAAGAGACATGAATTTTCTATTAACATGAATGACCAGTCAACAGAATTCTTCTAAATGATCTCCATTCGCACTCCTACATTCAAAGAAAAACAATTTAGAAGAAGTTATGGGAAAATTGTGAATAAGCACAGATGTGTAAGTGTGGGAGTTTGTGAAGCTTGGTGTGCTCTAAAACAGATGTTGTTTAGGGGGTGCTATTCAACGTAAAAAGAAGTTGAAGTGATAAAATGATTTCTGTAGTGACTAAATTTCTGTACAGCTAAAAGTTAAACACCCACCAACAAGATAAATCAGCAAACTATGTAGAAAGGAAACAATAAAACACTGAATTGTATGAGCTTCCATCAGCCAAAACATATAAAACACCAAATTATTTTAAAAACGCACGTGATTTGAGTTTAAATTATTGATTAGAAAACGTATAAAAATACTCAAATAGCTGAAGTTTAGCCCTACCTGGCTGTGGGCATGAGGATGGCTTGAGGTGATGCTCACTTTAGTTAAATGACAGCCAGACAGAGCTCTGCAAAGTTAGTACTCAGCCCAAGAGCACCTCGCTGCTGATTGGCTGAACGAACAGCAGCATCGAGAAACAGGAGGAGCGAACGTATATGTTCACGCTTTTTGACATGAATTTCAATTTAGGCGCCAAGTGTACAAAATAAAACCTAAATGTAATGTGATAAACAAATACTGTCTGAAACTTAATAGTGACAGCACGACTAAAGCCACCGCATATCTGGAAAGCCAGGTGTCAATAGTTTTGGGACAGAAATACCTACCGGAAAGTGACCTTACTTTACACAATGCATGATAAACTGAACGGACACTTGTGTATAGATACATGCACTGAAGTTATATATGCATGTGTGTTTATTAATGTGGTGACAATACACGGCGGAAAGACTTTTTGTGCAGCAGAGCCCTACAGCATAACAAAAGACACGTGGAGCGAGGGGACGAACTCAAGTGGTCGATATAAAACACTCAAGGACAACGGAGGCATTAATCATACACTCGCAACAACACGGGCACATCATTCGTTCATGTATAAGTACATTGATTATGGGACGATTTGGATATGTTCACTCGTAAAAATGCCACATGATCACGAATATGCCACTTAACGTTCAGCTTGGCAGCACATGCATTAACGTTTACGTTAGCTGCACTAATCGGCATTGCTCAGAGTCATAGCTAATTGGAAAATGCCCGATATATTATATTCCAGTGCAATAATGTGCTTTTGAGAGGAAACACTGAGTTGGAAGCACATGGACTTTAAGTGACACGCAGACTACCAAGTAACGTTAGACCTCTGACCCAAAAGTGCCAGCAAAGAAACCGCCCCATGTTTAAATCACACGATTGACTCTATGAATCTACACTCATAAATCGATGCTTGTGTTTACTGTACCTGAGCTGTTTTTCCTCAAGTTTAATCCTTTTGGCTTTAGGCTCATCGGACGCCATGATGCAGTGTGATAATGCTCTATCAAATATGTTCCAGGCACCTTGTAGAGCGAATGAAGCATCTGGAAGAGCGGGTAGTTCTTTTGAATCGAATCATTTTGATGAATTGATTCAAAAAATGTTCGTTCACGAATCCCAAACGGAGCAAGCGGTTCTCGTGAACTCATTCAATCGATAATCGTCTCTTTCGATCATTTCTGATTCTCAACGTGCTGAGGATGGGGCAGGTGAGTGAGCTGCCAATAAAAACATTCGATTCTCGATTCAGTGAGTCAGTAAAAATATATAATTGTATACGTATATATTCTTCTACCATTTGCCAAAGATTTGACTATCTGTGCGTTACTTTAAAAGTAGAAATAATATATATATATATATATATATATATATATATATTTTTTTTTTTTTAAGTACAAAGTCTTTGTATGACATTTCTGTATGGCATTTAAAGTTTCTAAACTGAACTGAACTCGGAAACATGAAATAACTACCCTTTTAATACAATAATTGAAAAAAAAACCTTAATCAAAAGCATTATGTTCCTAAATCACATGTTCCTAAATTTGTTCTTTGAATTCACTTGATGATTCAAAGAACCAATGAATCTGTCCATTTATTCCGGGTTTTTTTTAAAGAGCTGCTCAAAAGAACCGATTCGGAATGAATCTAGCCGTGGAGGGAACATTTACCACGGACATATAGCTGTCCCTGTGTATTGCCGCAGCAACAATTACATTTCTGAACTATTATTAACTTGAATCAATTACATGCTTTTCAGAAATATCGTTTAACATATTTGAAATTACGCTTTGTTTCACAAGGATCGACTGTTTACGTTTCAAATCAACTTTCATTTAAATTCCCGACAGGCGTATATTTGGACGCATGAACGGGGAAGTAGGAGTGACACTTCTGCCACATTTACAAGCGGAGGATATTGCTTGAAAACATTTATCAAGACAGCTGTATATAGGTAAGGTTTGTTTAAAAATAAGTTAAGATATGTGTTTATGAAAAGCTAACATCCCGTATTTGCTCGGATGAACATTATAGCCTCACGTAATCGGTAGACACAGGATATCCAACTCTTCTTTCAGGAAACAAAACTTTTATTGCTTTTGTTTTTAGTGTTTTTTTTTTACAAACAATCACACAGTCCGACATTATTTAGTATGTTTGTTTGCATCCCGTGAAAATAAATTAAATTATGATAGGTTAAAAAATAATATGTTCTGAAGTTTTAAAACTGCACATTTAGGTATATGTAAACATGTTTGTCTCATATTGTGTATCATGATAAAATGGATGCATGCACAGGGAGCTAAGGATAGAGTGCAGTTTTTTTTTATTATTATTTAAGCAAATAATAAAGGGAGTAACACTCTTTAATTTGACAAATTCATATATATATATATATATATATATATTTAAAGCATCTTACATCTCCTTTACACGTATTTTGTAAGTCTTCTATGGTATTTACCTTTTAATTGGCTTTCTCTTTCTGAATGCCATGTCTTTGTAACTATCCATATTACTTTAAGTTATAGAAATGTATTTTTATTTTTAATGTAGTATTTAGTGTACCTAAAGTAGATTACAAAGACATGGTTTAAAACAATAAGTAGGGAAATAAATTGTTGGGCGAGTTTAAATAGCATGTGTCTGCCACTCCCTTTTATATTTAGTTTGTATTGGCAGTGTTATTAAAAAAACCCCAAAAAAACTTGCACTCTATGCACTGGAATAACAGTAGCTCATACCACAACTTCCATTCTCATCATCCTGTTTTCATTCCATTGACTTTCCAGCCCTCACCATGATTCACAGCTTGTTCCTGATAAACAATGGTGGAGATTTATTCCTGGAGAAACACTGGAAGAGTGTCATAAGCCGCTCTGTCTGCGATTATTTTTTCGAAGCACGAGAAAAAGCGGTGGAACCTGACAATGTACCTCCTGTCATCCGCACCCCTCACCACTATCTCATAAACATCTACCGTGAGAAGATCTTCTTTGTTTCTGTCATCCAAACTGAAGTGCCTCCTCTTTTTGTTATAGAATTTTTGCATCGAATCGCAGAGACATTTCAGGTACATAAAAAAAAAAAGGACAGTTTGTGTGTTGTAGAAAATATATACAAAAACATAGATTACTGTTCAAAAGTTTGGGGTCAGTAAGATTTCTTAATACTTTTACTTAATACTTTTATTCAGCAAGGACACACAGTAAATTGGATAAAAAAGTGACAGTAAAGAATGTACAATGTTACAAAAGTTCTCTGTTTCAAAATAAATACTGTTCTTTTGACCTTTCATCAAATGATAATAAAAATAATAATTTAACATTGATAATAATCAGAAATGTTTTTGAGCAGCAAATCAGCACATTATAATGATTTCCCAAAGATCATGTGATACTAAAGAAAATTCAGCATTGCCAACACAGGAAGAAATTGCATTTTAAAATATTTTCAATTAGAAAACAGTTGTTTAAATTTGTAATTAAATCATATCAACCCCACATTTAATGTACATTTTATTGTTGATGTCTTGAATAGAATGTGTGGTAATTAATGTTTTTCTATAATAAATTATGTAGGATTATTTTGGAGAATGTTCTGAGACCATTATCAAGGACAATGTGGTCATAGTCTATGAGCTCTTGGAGGAAATGTTGGATAACGGCTTCCCCCTCGCCACAGAATCCAACATCTTGAAGGAACTTATCAGACCTCCCACAATTCTGCGGTCGATGGTCAACACCATCACAGGTAAGACAGCCATAAGCCTGAGTATTTTATTCATGGCTACAGTATATGCTGAGAAACTAACTGATTCACAATCTTCAGGCAGCAGTAATGTTGGTGAGACCCTCCCTACTGGTCAACTCTCAACTATCCCATGGAGAAGAGCAGGTGTTAAATATACCAATAATGAAGCTTATTTTGATGTGGTGGAAGAAATCGATGCCATCCTGGATAAGTCCGGTGAGTCTGAATTGAACTTGATTTTCCAGTTAGATTGCGCATATGAATGCAAGAGTTGTATTTCCTTTCAATAGCCGCGTTTCCACTGCCGGGCTAGGGCTGGGCCAGAGCTAACAGCGAGCCGGGCCGAGCTAGTGGCCTCGGGCCTCAAGCACCGGGCTTGCGTTTCCACTGCCGGGCCAGTAGCCCCACAGCGCTGCCCCAGACCCCACCCCTAACACGCCTTTCAGGATCAAACGTCATAAAACCCAACCCATTTCAGCGGGTATTATGAATTAATTTATTTTTTTAAATTAGGAAGATAGCAAGTATATTAACTCAACTGCCGTAGTGGCTGCAATAGTGTCCCGAGACCAGTACAGGCGATTCTCCATTTCAAGCAGCGATTTTTTTGCGCGATATAACAAGTAGGGCTGCGGGCACGTTTTCAAGTTATTCATTAATCGTTAACCGAGGCCCATGGTTAATACTCGGTGCATAGTGTGCGCGCCGCAACCTCGAGATACAGAGTAAATTTTTAACACCTTTAATAACTGATTGGACCCCATTTGAAACGAAATTAATTTATAGAAATAAAACGCAGCAAGTACGGAGCAGTTAAAGCCCCATTTCCATCACCCTTCAAACTGAAATTGCCAATTGAAAATAAGCAAAACGTCCATTTCACAAAAACTCCGTGTCTGCAAATAATAATAATAATAATAATAATAATAATAATAACCATCATCATCATTATTGTAACATTTTATTAGGCTGCATATGTAGAAGACGCCTTTATCCAAAAAAGGAACAGAGCACAAATAAACACAATATTTTTGACAAATATCAGCGCATATCCAGTGTGTGTGGAGCACGCACTGATGGCTGCGAGACGCCCATGTGAACAGTTTCATTGCATTTCTTTCAGTGGAAACAACTTAAAATACTCTTTAATTTCTGGTCATACAGAAAATAATAATACATTATTCGCAAATAAATTTATTTATAACAAGAAAACGTTGTGCTTTAACAATTAATCAAGGCGCGCTTCATGATCTCCGTGAACTGAAGCGTGAGACCTGAAACAGCCACCGCATTCGAATTTGTTCGTTTTAAATTGGACATTTAAAGCTTTAGTCTGGGGTTATATCCTTTGTAGATTAAAGCTTTAAATGTCCAATTTAAAACGAACAAATTCGAATCGAAAGCCAATATCTTCTATGTTTATGTAGCTTAATTTCTCTCTAAATGTGAATCCGGAGATGGAGATATGTTTTTAGCCGAAAATCATTTAGAAAACAATAGTTTATTAATAAACAATTAATGCCTCGTTATTTTATATTATTTTATTATCAGACACATTTATTATAGCCTATAAATCACCCATAAATCCCCTTTCTGTAGGCTGTGGTTACGGCTCTTCTCATTCAGCACTGCGGGGAAAATATCATTTCCAGGTTCTAATTTGGCCTCAGAAAACCAGTAAAATATATATTTTTTTCATATTAATTTGTCAAATATTTTAAATGTTTAAGGGGCAAAAAAATCTAACAAATATCTGAAAATTCGTCGATATGTAGCTATATATAGCCTATATATTGTTGCGCAGCATTTGGCATAGGCCTACAGTTCAAATTAAAATGTTATGCAATTTTAAACGGTTAATCGGTTAAACATGGACACCCCTATGTGCATCTTGCTTCAGATCATAACGTTCCATAACACCGGTAAACTCCGCCTTTTACCTTGAGCACGCCTCTAGCCCGAGCTGGCCCCCTCTGGCCCAAGGTATTCGACGGGCCAGAAATCCTGGCCGTTGGCCCTGAGGAAGCCCCGATCAAGCCCCGGAAGTGACAGTGGAAACGCGACTGGCCCTGGCACGCACTAGCACGCCCCGGCCCTGGCCCGGCAGTGGAAACGCGGCTAAGGTAAAGGCTGGTGTACTCTTCTGTTTCAGGAACTACAGTTTTTGCAGAAATCCAGGGAGTTATTGACGCTTGTGTCAAACTGTCTGGAATGCCTGACCTTACTCTCTCATTTATGGTGAGAGCATTTAATCATCTGGCTTTCTTTCTTTTTGCATACAATTTATTTTCCTATGTCGTCAACTACAGTATATTTAATTTTCACTGCTTCTTTGAAATATCTTGTCCATATCTGTGCTCTTATTTAACACTTATCCAACAAAAGGTCAGAGTATAATGGTGCGTTCTATTATAGCCAACGAACCGACTCGGACCTTGGATTTGACGTGACGTCCACACTTCAAGCGTTCTGTTATGTTTTGCGTGTCCGAGTCGGAGAAAAAAATGGACGCCACCCTGAAAGCTGTTATAATGGTAGCACTGGCCGAGTACCAGGCACTTACATTAAAAAAAAAATAAAAAGAACTTAAAATAAAGTGAAATATTCACTTTATTTAATGTTTTTCGTGTTAATCTTATGTTAGCAACGCTAGCAACGTTAGTAATTGCACTCACAACAACCGATTCCCATACCTACAGGGGACGCAGTAATACGAGTGATTATAATCGTCATTTAAAATACCAAAGCGGTTCAAAAACAATGAAAAGAATTCATTCTTACAAGTCACAGGGCGCAGCCATCTTGAATTCCGAAACGGAATTCTTGCTCCGTGTCCTCACGGTTGTCCGACGTCCGAGAGGTGAAATTCGAGGAAAGGGGGCGTGTTTCTAGCCAACGTCTGACGCACGATTCGGATCTCCGAGACGGATGAATAATAGAACGCACCATAAGTGTCGCCATTAGTTAACCTGAAGATTGAGCATCTTGGTTATGAATAAAAGACAAAGCATTACACTCCATTTTAAACAGCATTTTGCTCATTTAAAAATGATTATGATTATGATCTCCATCCACAGAACCCCAGACTCCTGGACGACGTGAGCTTTCATCCCTGTGTCCGTTTTAAAAGATGGGAAAGTGAGAGAGTTATCTCCTTCATTCCCCCCGATGGAAACTTTCAGCTCATGTCATATCACATCAGTGCGCAGAAGTATGTGGAGAAAATGGTTAAGGAATAAAATTAAAACATTTATTAAAGATATTTAGCTTTTTACCTGTTTTTGCAGCCTTGTAGCAATCCCGGTATATGTGAAGCAGAACATCAGTTTCTTTGAGACTGGATCTTCAGGAAGACTGGACATCACTGTGGGTCCTAAGCAGACCATGGGGAAGACTGTGGAGTGTTTGCTAGTGACTGTACACATGCCCAAAGTGGTTCTCAGTGCCAACCTCAATGCGACTCAGGGAACCTACAACTATGACCCAGTCACGAAGGTCACAAACTCTTTCTTTTCCAGTTTCATTGACTGTTATTTATTGTAGTTGGTAGTAGTTCTAGTAACACTATGTGACACTACACATTTTGCTCAGATGGTGACTAATAATTCTTCCTGTTGTCTTGTAGATTTTGTTGTGGGATATAGGGAAACTAAATCCCCAGAAGCTTCCCAATCTGAAAGGAAGTCTAAGTCTGCAGTCTGGAGCTCCTAAACCAGAGGAGAACCCAAGTCTGAACATTGACCTGAAAATCCAGCAGTTGGCCATCTCAGGTTGGCAAGGGCCCTTTTATCAGCTTTGGTCATTATTCATTGCCAACAGGACCTTGTGATAAAGCACTGTTGTAATTAACAAGCACAATAAGCTGCTAAAACGCTACTTAATTTAGATTGAAAAAGAAAAAGATATAACCAATGTATATATAAAAAATATTATATAAAAAAATATATAACAAAGTTATTTTCATCTCCTTCCACATGTTTGTATGTGTACACTGACATACACTGATATTCAAAGATTTGGGGTCATATAGATAAAAAAAAGAAAGAAATTAATTTGATTTAGCAGGGGTGAATGTATTGAAATGATTTTAAATAAATGCTGTTCTTTTGAACTTGCTATTCATCAATCCAGCTTAACCTAAAATAAAATTTAAAATATATATTAAAATAAAATATTGTTATTTTAAATTGTTATAATATTTGATAATAATTCTGTTACTTTATTCTTAATCTGATATTTTTTTTCACAAATGAGTTCACACATGTCAGTGTCAAAAATTTACTAATTTGATTAATGGCCTACGCTGTAAAAAAATTGTGCTGCCTTCATTTTAACTTCAACTCCAATTATTTAAGTTGTCACTTAGTACAAATTCACATTTAAAATTAAGGCAGCACAAACACTCACTTTAAGTTGAAACAACTTTTTTTACAGAGTAGGAATAGTGCATAATCTTACTTTCATTTAACATCTTAATAATTGCTGTAAGACCTTAAAATCCTAAAAAAATAAATAAAGCACTTTTAAAATGTGCTATATAAATACAGTTATGCTTACTTCACTCTCTCTTCTTCTTCACAGGATTGAAAGTGAATCGTCTAGACATGTACGGAGAGAAATATAAACCATTCAAGGGTGTGAAATATGTAACCAAAGCTGGGAAGTTCCAGGTCAGGACATAAGGCCGTCTGCAGAGTATCACAATGATATGCCAAAAGTTTAACAGAGGTGCCATTTTCTAAGTGACAAATCATACAGAATTACAACTGTGCACAATCTCTCTTATTTCTTTATAACATTGAAGTTACATTTATTATTGTAATATTTATCTTTCTTTGTTTTGTGGGAAGTAACTGGCAATTTGCAAGAAGTGAACATCTTTCCACTGCAGAGAATTGGGAGATTTTTTTGCTTTATGAACCTTTATCTTCATATCATTAACATTCCATTAATGTATTAAAACTGTATAATGTTGGATTTAAGGTACAGGTACTTGGTTTTGTGCCATCAAAAACAAGGATTCTTCTTGTTACAGTAACACTGCATTCACATGTTGTTTTTAGCACAGAAACCATCGGTTTTAGGTAGTGGAATTTGAGAATAAGTGATACAAGCTATTTCCTAATCACATTACTGCGCTTACAATCTTTGATATTGGTGCAAACAATACCTGAGAGTTTCTGCACATATACACACAGGCCTTATTTTACATAAAGATTACATGCCAAGTAATTTCTTTTAGACCAGTGGCTTTTGAATGGAAAAAAAATGGCATTTCTTTAAAAGCACAGGACATATTTACAATAATGCTCTACTTCTCTACTACACAAGCACATCACTGCTTAGAGGTGAATGGCTCTTGTACCTGCTAACATTTAAAGTTTGCCAAATACAAGCACTATGGGGCCATTGTGAGCACACGTTATAAAATCTGTTCTGTTGCACTGACCTGCAGTGACACTAGATATGCAGGTCTGCCACCTTAATGTAGCTTTGAGGATTTGCACACAATTGCATTATTTTATAAAATGTCAAGGGAACTGCTTAACTGCATTTTAAGCTATGTATTTAAATCAAAAGCCTTCTGATTTATAAAGTTTCCAAACAAAATGAGGTATTTTTTGCGTGTCTGACTAATAATTGTTGGTTTTAGCTTCATGTGAATATGCTTGAAAGTATTAACAATGAATGTCTAAGAAGAGTCCTTTAATCTTTGTGTAGTTATTGAAGTGCAGTACCTTTAACAAATGAGACATGAACGTGTCCCTTTATTGACACAAGTTTTCAAACAAAACACTTAACAGAACATTTTTATCAATCTGAGGCACATAAGATTTTTTTTCTATGTGACACTGACAAAAAAGTCAACATTAGTGTCATATATACATTCACAAAGCAGTATTTTCACTCTTTAAAAAGAAATGTTAAATGTCATCAGAACCCAAAACATGCTATTACACATACAAATACAGCCCTGTAAACTTTCACAAAGAGGCACTATATTGGGGCGGAAAAGGTCATCTTTAAGATGTATGTGTTATAGATAGAGTTTTAAGTGAATGCAAGGCAGTGAAGCATCATGATAGTTTTACTGTTGCTGTACAGAGAATTCATCTACAGAGAGTGCATCTTTAGCTAAAGGTGATGAGCTTGTGCTACTGAGCTTTCCATACTAGAATTGCACCATTTCCACACATTTGATTCTGTACAGTCACTAAAATGACAGATCACCCCAAAAATGTAAAAATAATCATTATACTTACTAATTATTATTAATATTTATCCAAATGTATTTCCAAACCTTTATTCTCTGGATTTTGAACAAAATGTCTGGTTTTGTCCATACATTGAAAGTCAATGGGGTCATGTTTGGACCCCATTGGCTTTCATTGCATGGACAAAAATGTTTCTGAAAATATTTTCTGTTTTAGAACGAAATGAGGGTGAGTAAATGATGAAAGTATTTTCAATTTGGGGTAAACTCTCCGTTTAAGCATCTTCAAAGTCCAAACACATAGGTATCAACAAGCCACCTGGGTCTTGTTACCCATTCTATCCAAATGGGAGATACGTTAAGACTGCTCCATCATCAATATACTACAATGAAAACAATCACACTGAGAGAAATGTCAAAATTACAGCTGTAAACTAAAAAGACAAAGCTAAGAGAGAGCAGTTCAACTGTTGTGAGGATTGTGCTTTTCTTTTGAAAAGACTATAAGAAATCTCAAAAAACATCACTCTCTCACAAGAGTCAAGTGTGAAAGGAAAAATAAATTCAGTGTTAACTATCCAAGCTTTCACATGTCTGTAGTTTTACATGACAGACGCATTTATTTGATAGCTTGTGAATATTGTAGTGTAAGTATAAAAAACAAAATCTTTGGCATCGACCGTGCCATGCATCTCTGTAATGGCATGGCCTATCAAAAAAGGCATTATCCTGTTTAATAAATAGCTAAGCAAAAGTTTGTTATAAATATAAGCTAAGAAAAGTTCATTATAGATAACTTAAAACAGCCAGCCGTAAAACCTTTTTTTTTTTATCAAAGTAAAGCTTACAACACTATTTGTTGTATATTTGTGACTAAAACATGATCTGTGATAATGATCTGATGAAATACAAGTATAAATATATACAAATTCAGTAAGAAAATTGAATTGTCAAAAACTAATTTAAAGTAAATTTCATCATGAACTCCAACATTGTTCGAGAGAGGCATTTAAGTCATCATGCCATATTTCTCCAATATAAAATAGAAAACTTCTTCATGCAAAAAATATATATACCTGGAGTTTGGAGACCCAACATACCAAAAAATATATATTTAAAAAATATGCTTCCTGTGTACTCCTACGCTAAACCTCCGTAGTGTGAGATAAAGGTAACTACAGCAAACTTTCAGGACCAAAAATAGCCTCCGTAAAGACAAAATAAGTGTACTAAGTACAAATACCAGCAAGTAAATAAAAATAAGTAATACCAGTCACCCCGAAACTACAACCGAACGCTAATGTCCAAAAGTTTAAGGATCAGGTCCTTTCCTCCCGCCACCCTTTATCAGACTTCGGACGTTTGAAAAGGCAAGGATGCGAATTGCTGATGGAAAACAACTACCGTAGTCCTCAGTTTACTGGTACCAGGGGGTCTTTCGGACCCAGCGAAGAGTGAACCCTGCGTCTGTGCGGATCTTGATGGAGGCGGCTTCTGCTTCTCTGACCGTCTCCTTCACGGACTGCATGAGGTTCTGCGCATTGTGCACGAGCATCTCAGTGGCCTTAAAGACAAACACAATCAATTCAGTCCTGATCAAATGCAATAAATCCTTTATTTAAGGTGGCTGTGAATGTGCCTTGCCCTCACCTGCTCAGATTCTTCCTCACTGATGTTTGTACGTCCCAGCATAGTGGCCTTGACTGTGGACAGGATCTTCAGCTGAGTGCTGATAGTTGGGATACGCTCACAAACCTAGAATAAACATTCCGGAGTGACAAAATAACCCGATTTGCAAATGCTCATCTATCAGTGCTGGAAGAGAGCTGTACTGCTGAAGGATGGTATTTGTGCCACTGACCTGCAACAGGTTTGTGCGAATCCGTTTGTCGGTGCATTGCTTGGCTACCTCTTTAGCCAGCCGCGTGACCTCATCGGAGGCCTTAGCAATGTCCTTGGCACACTGAATAAGGGCACGTTTATTTCCGCTGCCTCCACGCACAAGACGAGACATCTCTGCCATGAGCAAGGCCATGCGCTTCGCCGCTCCAATGATGTCATTACCCTAAGAGCACAAGGACTTTAAATGAGGGTTTGATTACAAACAGGTAAAATGTCAAAAATACCTAAAACAATTCAACAATTCACAGATTGATCATAATTTTGGCCTGTTGTTAACCTGTGATTGTTGATGTATAACTGTATCTAACTTCAATCTATAACCTTTTAAAAAGTCAGACAAACAGATAAGTGTTTAGAATCACTTCATGTTCATCCAGTACACATCAATCATGCCCTTTTAAAATTAGTAAAGGTTCATCATGTCTCCTGAGTCAAAGACTGATTATATGATTCTTCCTATATAGGAAATTTCTCGCTATGTAAAAAATTGAGACAACAGAGAATCACAGAACCACTAACAAACGTTACTTTTTGCGCACATGAGAAACGTAGGGCTGTCAAACGATTAATCGCATCCAAAATAAAAGTTTGTGCACTGTGTAAAATGATTTTGTATATATATATATATAAAAATACACACACATGCATGTATATTTAAGAAAAAAATAATTTATTTATATATGAAATATTTGAAGAGTTCAGATGCAAAAGCCTCTAAATGCCATTTGAAATTTTCTTCTAGAATGATCAATTTTATCAAGCTTGTATATTTAAGTTCAGTGATTTCACTTAAATGGCAATGATAATTACATATTAATTGTTATTTAAGTGAAATTACTGAACTTAAATATACAAGTTTGATAAAAATCATTATTAAAGAAGAAAATTTCAAATGGCATTTAGAGGCTTTTGCATCTGAACTCTTCATTTATATTTACATAATATAAATTATATATAAATCTATATACAGTATATACATGAAAATATTTCTTAAATATATACAAGCATGTCTTTGTATTTATATATATATATATATATATAAATAAAATAATTATACACAGTGCACCCGCTTATATTATGTAAACACAAACTTTTATTTTGGATGCGATTAATCGCGATTAATCGTTTGACAGCCCTAGTTTCTACATACTATTCCCATACACACAGCAGGTACTATTGGAGGCACTAAATTCATATTTACAGGATACAAAACTTCACAATCACATGTGCATGAACAACTACATGCGCATAAAGTTTTTCTGTCGTTACCATTTCTGTAAAACCTAACTTTCCCATACGGGCGCAAAAGTTTTGGGTTTCACGCATATGGGGGACATTTCTTGGTGAGCATGAGAACATCTCAGGATATTTTTTGCTGCAAACGTAACGTTAGTGGCTCCGTGTAAACTGATGTTTTTTCATCTCCAACTTGTCAACAATATGGTTCCCGTCTAATGGATTTTCGGTTATAATTGCGTGTCAAAAATACCTACATTTGATCAGTATACCTTCAGTTGAATTCTGCACTTTCCTTTAATGAGTCAATTATGTTTGTACACAGGCATGCAGTTTCAGTGTGTTAAAATGTATCATCCTACGATGGCTTTGACATGGTTGATTTAAATGGTTAGAAAAAGAGTGCACAACAAACAGGCATGTGACATGACTTCAACGTGTAATTCTGAAGTCATTGGGAAACTGTCATCCATGGCTTCACAGGTTGGCAAAAGCAGAGTGTTTGGCAGCAGCGGTTGAGTGAATGGTTCCTTGTTCGAAACCGAGGCACAGAGGTATGACGCTATCAGAAATGAGCAGGGGAGTGACTTGTGAAGCCAGTATCAGTTTGTCCAAAAAATGCACCACAAACTTGCCATTCCAGTCGGTGTCATTGGCCATCCCAGCAGCAAAAAAACCACACAGGACCCAAGTGTGAAGCAATAACAGCAGCAGCAGCAGCTATCTGGTTTCAGCATTCCCACAATAATATCTGGATGCAGAAGGGATGCTGCGGCCTGCCGAGGCCGGAAAAAAGGAGTACCTTACTGGACCACTTGCGAGCCTCCTGATGTAAAGACTGCGCAGCGGCCAGAATGGGCTGGTTAACTGGCTGATTGGAAGACATTAAGAGCAGCTCTGGCTCATAATCATCCTCGTTGTCTGTGAATTCATCCTCATCATCTATATCTACCTCCGCCTCAGCGGCCTCAAAACCCTCGTCTGTGACCTCAGGCTGGGAAGGGAGAGGGGGGAACCAGCATGGAGAAAGAAGGACAGAGTTAGTACGAGAGGCACTGGATGAAGATTTTCCAGGACATGGTTTTGGGAACGGCTGGGTTTAGGATGGCTGGGTAGAGGAAGCATTCTGGGTCCTGCTGGGTAACGCCTGCCACAGGGTTTATAATGTCAACTGAAAATTGTGTAACTGATCTATTCTCATGGAAAATTCAGGTAAACTGGGTGGTTCATTTGGACAGAGAGCAAACAAGCAAAGCCCCCAACAAGACAAGCGACTTTGACAGCTTGTGGAGATTAAATGGTTTTGAATGGTACGTAAAGGGATGGTTCACCCAAAAATGTTCATTACTTGCCCTCAAATTGTTCCAAACCTGTATGAGTTTCACTGTTCTGTTGAACACAAAAGAAGATATATTGAAGAATGTTGACAGCAGCCATTGACTTCCATAGAATTTTTTTTTTCATCAACTGTCTGGTTACCAACATTCTTAAAAATATCTTCTTTTGTGTTCAACTGAGGAAATAAACATGTTTGGAACAACATAAGGATTAGTAAAGACAACATTTTCATTTTTGGGTGAACTATGATTTAAAAACTATGCTAAAAAAACTTCATAAATGACTGGATTGTATTATTTATATTAATTAGGATATGCTATAGAGATTGTCAATGTCATTAGAAAAATTCTTTTAAAAAAGGATTTTCCTTTATTTTACCTGGAAAAAAAATTGTAATTATTTTTTATAGACAAAAAAGCTATTTATAGCTGACAACATATATTATAGATGAGAACTAGAATATTTTATATTTTTCTTTTAAAAGTTGGGGTCAGTAAGGTTTTTAAAAAAGTGAGAGTTAAAGACATTTATAATTTTATGAAAAAAATCTATTTCAAATAAATGCTGTTTGCATGTCCTGAACAATGTATCACCGTTTCCACTAAAATATTAAGTATTTGAATGATTTCTGAAGGATCATGTGACACTGAAGACTGGAGTAATGATGCTGAAAATACAGCTTTGTGATCACATTAATAAATTAAATTTTAAAATATATAAAAATGACAATCAGTTCTTTAAAATTGTAATAATATTTCACAATATTTATTTTACTGTATATTTGATTAAATAAATGCAGTCTTGGTGCATATAAAATACTTTTTAAAGCGTTTAAAAAAAAAAAATCATACCCAAACTTTTGAACAAGTATCTATGTGCACTATATCATCATCCTATTAATCCATTTATTTCTAGTTTTATTTGCATTAAATTGAGAGTATTATCATAACTGAACAAGCAATAAGCATGGGGCTGCGCCTGCGTGCAGATACAGACAGGGAAAGTCCTTGTTAACACGCAAAAAAACAAATGGTTTTCATAAGGACCAAGCCAAAGCCAATAAAGGACTGTTGAACTATGATAGTAGAAGAAAAAGCGCATAAACATCCACTCAAGGACAAACGCACAAAGTGGGCTCTCACTATGATCACATGATTGGGTTTTATTAAGTTATGATTGGGTTTTATAAGTATTTTTGCTTATATCACCTTCTATCACCTACAAGAGCCTTTGCAATAAGCCTGTATCAGCTCCGTGCTAGTTCCCGTTGATATTGCATCCACTGAGGAAGATATTTCCCATTAGTTAAAAGTTAACTCGGTAGTCCTGTCTGTCTCGTTTCATAGCAGACGCTCTTTTGGGGTACAGCTGCGAAGAAAAATCATGTATTGCTCCATCACTATGGTAAAAGAAAATGAGTAAATCTACTTGTTAAAAACGTTAGAGATCAAGCATGCAAACACGTCTTTCATAGATGACAGTTTCCGTTCATTTTTCCCCCCTGAAACTGGAATCATCGCAGAGATTTCCACATTTCAGGTTAAAGACAACAAAAACACTCAGATTTGTAAAGAAGCAACATTTCACAATCATAAAGAGCAGTACACAAAAGTGCAAACACATCTTGTTTTCCCTTTCCATTTTTGAGTTTCACCTTTTAATCTATAATTATAATTCCTCAAAGTTTTTATTATTGTATTTAAATGTACATTATCATGTAAAAGTATAGGATCAGTGCTTGTTTTTTTTGTTTTTGAAAGAAGTCTCTTATGCTCACCAAAAACTGCATTTATTTGATCAAAAATATAGTAAAAACTGTTTTCTGTTAATATATTTTAAAATGTAATTTATCCATGTGATGAAAAGGCTGAATTTTCTTTTTTTATGAATGAAAGAATGTTTCAAAGAACAGCATTAATTTGAAATAGAAATCTCTTCCAACCATGTAAAAGTCTTTACTGTCACTTTTGATCAATTTTAAGCATCCATGCTCAAGTAATAATTTCTTTCAAAAATAAATCTTACTGACCCCAAACTTTTGAACGGTAGTGCATATGTAATGAAATACGAGAAACGATTGTGTGCCTAAAATGATGAAAATCCACTCACTTTGCTGGACCATTTACGGGCCTCGTCGTGTAGTTGCCTGGCCGCCACCATCATCGGCTCGCTAACCATCTCGCCGGCTTTCTGCTCAGGGAACTCTTCATCTTTCTCCTCTGGGGGTGGAGGTCTCGGGGGAGGAACCTCTCCCTCAGGGAGGGGCGGTTTGGGAGGAGCCTGGTCATCATTGACCTGACAGAGTCATATGGGTGTATAATGACACAGGATGAGTAAATGATGACAGAACTGTTTCTTTAGAGGGATAGTTCCCCAAAAATGAGTACACCTGAAAGTCATCCTAGGTGTATATTCTTTTTTCAGACAAATACAATCGGAGTAATATTAAAAAATGTTTGTCCGGAAACTAGAATTTTACTTTGTAATATGTTAAAGGTGCATTATGGAACATTTCATGTTAAAAATAGCCGTTTTTCTAACCCATACATGCTTAAACAATCGCCTGATGGGCTGAAAGAGCCCTTCTCTGATCACTGCGATTGCCTCTATAATCCTGTACAGTAAAATAAATAAGAGGGATTTGGGCTCACTTGAGGGTGAGTAAATCATGGGCTAATTTTCATTTTTGCGTGAACCATCCCTTTAAGACCTGAACAGGTGTAGAGTAGCAACACTTACATGCAGCTGATCCAAGTCTGGAGGTGGAGGTGGGAATTCAGGCTCCTGAGGCTGGAAGGCTTCCCTTACTTTCCCAACAGCAGCCAAGATCCTGTAGCCAGAGTCCAGGAAGCTCTTTTGCAAACCTGCTCAAAAGGGGAAAAAATCAGTAACAGCTTTAATAAGTTTTCTACAAATGTATTCAAAAATTAAAAAAAAAAAAAGACCTGGATCCTGGATGTTTCCTGCTACAGCTTTAGCAGCCATAACCATGGGTGAGATGGTTCTACCAAGATCATCCGAAGCAGCTTTGACTAGTTCTCTGAATTTAGGGTCCTCTGAGTTTTCCACTTCCCGCTTGGCCACCAGAAGTACCCTGTTAGCCCGCCGGGCAATGCTCGTAGCCCCTGCAACCAACAACTGGGGCTGAACATTAGCCATTGCCACCCGGCATTTATCAATGTCTTTCTTAATGGCCTCCTCTGAAGCATCCAAGAGGGATTTGGTGTCAATGGCTTCATCCACAAGACCTGAAATTAAGATTTAAAAAACAGTTGATGTGGTAATCTTCTTTTTGATGCATGCTGCTGATGAAAAGAATGAGCTTTTACTGGTCATTTTTTCAATGTTGTCAATCCATTGGTTCTTCATGGTCTCGAAGTGCTCATAGGCAGCCTGGTTGCCAGGGTTCTTCAGCAAAATGCGTGCAGCAGAAGTGACCTGCTCATGAGAACAGCAAAACACAGATGTACACATCTAGATTAGATCACAACCATCCTTATAGTTCCCATTCTGAGAGCTTTATTAGTAAAATGATGAATTAAAAGCAGAAAAAAAAATAGCTTTACAACAATATATATTAAATATTTGTAAACGTCTTTATAATTAATACTGTTCTCACACAGTTATTTTAAGAATGAGGTCTCGCTCAAGGGTTATCATCATATTTAGGGGTCTTCGGAATCAAAAGTTTGAATACCCCTGGAGACTTGATCATGTCCAAGAACACCATTATGTGCCCTTAAATTAGCTCTGGCATAAGCACAGATAGTGTCCTCACAGACACATTACACACATACATTCATACAGTATCTAAGCTGCATACCTGAGGTGTTAGACCTCTGGCTGATTTCACGGCCGCCTGAATGCCTTCAACTGTGCTCTTATTGGCTGTTCCCACAGCAGCGGCCTTCTCCGCTGTAGCACCCAGTCTGCTGGCATGATTCTCAAAGTTAGACGCCCTTTCTTCAAAGACCTAGAGAAAAAAAATAAGTATGTTTGAGTGCATTTCAGACCAAGTTATACTTAGAAATGTACATAATAAATGTCCACGCAAGGTGAATTTGTCTATAAATTATTAATTTTGGGGATGTATTCAATTTAAAAAATAGCCCTAAAATAAATATTTCTTCAAAAAATTAGGTTTACGGTTTGCGATATGTGTGTGCATTAGCATCTTTGATCTGACAATGAAAAGCATCTGTTTAAAAGAGCCTGTATTACTCAGCTGACCTCCTCTCTGTTGGGGGCCTCAAGAGGAGCTGTTGCTGCTACAGCCAGGAGTTTAATTGGTGTGGTTGTATCACTGAAAACATCAGACACCTCCTTGGTCATTGCCTCCTGCATCTTTGCCTTCAGATCCTTGAAGGAAAAATATGATACAGGTTATTTAAGTGTACAGTTAACACACCCTACCGGTATAAACTATTATTATTTATTAATATTACATTATTTAATAATATATTTTAAAATTACATTTCTTCCAGTGATTGCAAATTTACATTTTCACCAGTCATTACTCCAGTCTTCAGTGTCACATGATCCTTCAGAAATCATTGTAATGCTGATTTGGTCCTCAAGAAAAATGTATTATTATTATCAATTTGCAAAACAGTTGTACTGTTTAATATGTTTTGGTAAAACATTTAAATCTTTGGGGAAAGTGTGTTTTTAAAAACTGAAAGAAAAATGTATACTTTTATTCAGCAAGGACGCATTCAAAAGTAACAGCAAAGACATTAATAATGTTACAAAAGTTTTCCATTTCAAATAAATGCCATTCTACTTTTATATTGAACTTTCTATTCATTAAAGAACCAAAGAAAACATGCATCACTGCTAAAACTGTTTTTAACATGGATAATAATAAGTACCATTTTTAATACCTGAGCACCAATAATAATTGATCAGAATATCTGAATGATTTCTGAAGGATCATGTGATTGAAAAATGGAATGATGCTGAAAATTCATTATTTTTTCATTATTTCATTATTCATTGTTTATAATTTATTCCATAACAGGAATAAATTACATTTTAAAATATAATCAAACAGAAAGAGTTATTTTAAATTATAATAATATTTCACAATATTACTGTTTTTCAAAAAAATATTATTTTAATAATTATTTTAATAATTTTAATAATTATTCCTAACTTTTGACCAGTAGTGTAAGTTTCTAGAAATAGCATGGGAATATTGCAATGCAAATAATTTCCAGCAGAGGGTATAATTTGCTTATATATATTATCTAGAGCGCTTTGTGTCTCTAAGGCCAGCAGATTTGATCTCTGCACTTCCCATTTGAGAAGATCTAAACATCTGATTATGCTTCACCCACACCTGCTGTGGGAAAGATACTGGGATCTTTTAATAGAAAAAGGGGGACACGATGCCTTACTTTAATTGCCTCCAGCAGATGAGCAACCACAGCGCGCGCCTGAGGACTCTCTCCCTCTCCCCGCACAGCCAGATCTGCCAACTGCATCATCAGCTGCTCCACTCGCTCACACATTGCTAGCAGCTCCTGTCTGTACGGGCCTGGTAGAGAGTTCGCCAATCGGCGGCCCTCAGCTATCAGTCCCCGTATGGCAGCCTGGCCTACAGACAGAGAGATAACAGGCTCCCATTCAGGCCGGTGCACCTCCTAGAAAATGTTATGGGGTCTGTGTGTATATAAAACAAGCTATCCGTCCCGTGCTCTATGAACACACACTAAATGTTTGTATAATAGAAAGGATAAAACAGGTTTCCCAAACACTCCCGACTCCAGTCTCCCATTGTTTGGTCAAAACAGACAGTCTCTTAAATAAACGCCCAATCAATGGGAGGTGAGAATTACCAGTCTAATAAAACTGTTTCTGTTAAATGGGCAGTTGTGAATAATTACATACAAAGTAATTTTTATTTTGCCGCAATATTTATTTAAACTGAATAGCCCTAAAAGCCTACAATTATTTTTTAAGCAAATTTATTGGCGGTGATTTGTTTTGTGTGGATAAATTCATACATTTAATATTCATTCATTTTACCATAGTAAATAAGCAGAGGGTAATGGCCAGCAGATTTGATCTCTGCACTTCCCATTTGAGAAGATCTAAACATCTGATTATGCTTCACCCACACCTGCTGTGGGAAAGATACTGGGATCTTTTAATAGAAAAAGGGGGACACGATGCCTTACTTTAATTGCCTCCGGCTATTTAATCGGCTGCTTCACAACCAATTTGAAATTAATGTGTGACTGAGTGGCTAATAAGTTAGCATTACTTAAATTAGCAGTATCATTTTTAAATGCATTACAACATTGTGCTACTCCCTTAAAAGGTAACTAATTGTGTTACTAAGTTACTTTTTGGGGAAGTGATGCATTAGATTACTTTTGTGTTACTTTTTCTCACCTGGGCAGAGCCTGCTTGTTTTTTTATATAACAAAAATTGCTAAAATGTACTATTTTGGCAAATGTAACGGACCTTTCACACCAAAAGTAAAATGAATAAGGCTCTGGCTGAAGGAAATACAAATTCATCATTGTACAGTAGAGGGTGTCGCTCAAACAAACCTTTCAGCTGTGCTGCCTTTCTGGATTGCAGCAATAAAAACAAAAATGAAACACAAATGTGATGTTCATCTAAAGTTATTTTTGCTTATTAATATGGTTGAATTATTAGATCATCGAAAAAAGTCAGCAGCAAAGGCATAATAAAATTAGATTATATACATAAAGTACATTTGTGTTATTTAACATTTAATTATTGCAGGTTAGAATAATATTCTGTTTAACTATTATTTAATTTTTATATTTTGATTAATTTTGAGGAATACGGAATCTGTTTTTGTGCAAGTAAGCTGAATAAATGTATTCTCACATTTAGTCTAGAACTACAATCACCATCGTGTTTATACAGCACACAGAACACCTAATTTGAAAAAATAACATATTTAGTTGTAACTTTAAAAGTAATGTGTTACTTTACAAGTTACTTGAAAAAAGTAATCTGATTACTGATTACGTGATTCGCGTTACCTGTAAAGCACTGTAAAGTAGTATCTCTATTTGCTAGTTAAAAAAAAATTATAATAATATTTTACATTTTCTTAATTTGGAAGCACTATCACACCACTTAAGTAGTATGGACGATTAGAATCCAAGTACGCATCCAAAGTTAAAAGGGTAGATAGTATACAAGTAATTATTACCCACGATTCCTAGCAACATTTGAAGCTTGTGAAGACTCACTTTCAACTTTTTCAGTTGAAGAAATGTTCAGTGTTGAAAAGCTATATAGTTTAATAAGGTTAATTAACAATGAATTCTTATGTAATGAAGTTAGAAAGAGGACAGTGGCCTGAGGTATTAAGATGCAATCCAATGACGTGGTAGTATGTTTCAATACTGGTCTTGCTATACACTCGAAATCATGGATTTTCCCCACCACCAGCAAAGTACATACTTGACAGACCCACTGCAGGAAAAGTAGATCAGCACTAAACAGCTCTGGTCTAGAGTTACTCCAAGACTAAGTTAACCTGAAAGTAACATGACCTGCTGTGAATAGGACACGAAGCAGCTATTAATGGTTTGAAATATTTTAAGTATGAACATAAATACAACAGGGTCAGAGAAAATAGCCATCTGTCACATCACATAAAGGTCCAGAGTCAAGTGCCCAGTTCCATACATATGAATAAGTCATTCAATATGCCAGTGTCATCCTTTGGGGGAAAAGTAATTGCCTCAGATGCCCAGATGAGGTCTTACTTGACTGAATGCCTATTATGCTAATAGCGTAAACAGATTTTATAACTGCTAAATGGTTTTGATTCTAGTATAAATAGATTGCCAGGCTATTTTTTTGTTGTTGCTGTTGTTTTTTGTCTGATTTAAATGGTAATGTTTTACTTCACCGTGCCACCCACCTACTCCATGATCGTCCACTCCAGGGTTGTTAATCCAGCGCAAAGCCTGCTCCATTTTGCCCTCTAGTGTAACAGCTGCCTTGGCAGGTCTCATGTTGGCCACGGCACGGTTAGTCTTTGCCTGCAAGTTTTGCAAAGCTGTGCCAATCTGTTTGGCCAGCGATCTAGCCTCAGGAGTATCCCCTTTACCCCTGTGACACAAAAATGGACCAGAACATGAGATTCAACAACAACAACAACAACAAAAAACATGTATAGCATAATTAGCATGAGAATAAAACTAACTAAATAAATAAAAGAATCACATTATCAGAAAGATACTGTATATTCCAGATCTGGAGTTATATTAGGCACGTTATCTTGGTTGCATAATGTGACCTAACCATGAACATAATAATGGTTTATCAAGTTCACATTTTTCATCATGTTCTGATCAAAGACAACATTTTCTAAACATAACAGAATATGATATGAAGCTGAAAACCGTCTGTCCTTTGAAAGTGGAAATAACACTTTGAATGTTCCTGTAAATTAAAGGTCTCTAGCCATTCGCGATGTAGGACTGTAATTACATTTTACGAAGTTCAACCAGTCTCGCAGTGAGTCCTGCGATCTCACTGATGGAGCGCAGAATGTCGTCTCTCTCTTTAGGGTCTTCACACAGGTCAGCAATGCGCTTGGCCTCTGCCAGAAGAGCACGGATGTTCTCTTCCCCCTCCGGACCACCGTTAGGATCAGCCAGCCAGCTCTGAGCAGAAATGAACATTTAGTTAAAAGAAATGTAAGAAACTTAAAGGAGTAGTTGAAAAAACTTTTGAAAAAACTTTTGCTGATAATTTACTCACCCCCATGTCATCCAAGATGTCCATGTCTTTCTTTCTTCAGTCGAAAAGAAATTAAGGTTTTTGATGAAAACATTCCAGGATTTTTCTCCATATAATGGACTTCAGTGGGAACCAGATGGTTTAAGTTCCAAAAGAAACTTTAAGTACAAACTGCAAACTTGTTCAAAGGGCTTTAAACGATTCCAGACGATGAATAAGGGTCTTATCAAGCGAAACGATCACTCGTTTTATAAATAGATAACAAAGTTTAAGTTTTATAAGCTCAAACGCTCGCCTTGCTCTGTTCTGTAACGCACTCCTTTTCGAACTCGTTCATCAAAACGAACAAATCTTTTTCCGAGTCATTTGGTTCATTCGGCGAAAGAAACGAACGAATTGATTCGGAAAAAGATTCACGAACGTGCACCACAGAACAGAGCAAGGCGAGCGTCTGATCTTATAAAACTTAAACTTTGTTATCTATTTATAAAACGAGTGATCGTTTTCAAAACAAGTTTTCAGTTTGTCCTGAAAGTTTCTTTTGGAACTTGAACCGTCTGGTTCCCACTGAAGTGCATTATATGGAGAAAAATCCTGGAACGTTTTCATTAAAAACCTTAATTTCTTTTCGACTGAAGAAAGAAAGACATGGACATCTTGGATGACATGGGGGTGAGTAAATTATCAGCAAAAGTTTTTTGAAAAGTGAACTAATCCTTTAATATCAGAAATGAATATACTAGAGTAACACATGTCAACATCTCCTAGGTTTTCAATTTGAAGGAATATTTACAGACATATTGTTATTCAACATAAGGAATCTGTTAGGAGTCTGTTATATAATCATATACTTTGCCATTGTCTGAACTCATATGTGGTTTTCTGTCACTGCACCGACTGCACAAAGTACAATGATTCCACCCTTTAAATACTTATGAGACAGCACATCTCCACTAAATAACATCAGTCGAGACAGATTTATGCAACGGCTATTTAGACGAGAACACGTCTGTAATTATGAGTACCCATTTTAAGTACCCACAGGTCCTCTGGGATGCATATAGTCTCTTCAAATCTGTAACTATGACAAAATAAAAATATAATAAGATATTACAAATAGACAAAATTTACTTAGAGGCTGGAGAAAACACTTGATATATATTTTGTTGTTGCCATTTATTGACCCAAACTAAGTTAAAACTATCCAAGTTGTAATTTTATTAGGTTGATTAGGTGTAAATATTGGTACTCAGTTAGGTTGTCACTTTGAGCACTGAAGAAAACAATAGACACTAAACAAAACAATCCACTAAAGAAACACCTTCATGCTTCTGTTTAACGATCTCAAGAGGACTGACCTGGGCCGTGTCGATTCTCTTGGCGATGGCCTGTTTGGCATTGGTCAGGGCCTCCAGCTTTCGGGCAGCGTTCTCCACTTTTCCCACAAGAATATCCAAACCCTGGCCCACCTGCTGAGCTTTCTGCATACCCATGGGGGTGGCACCCTGACCTCTGAACAAGCAACATATCATATTAATGGTAGCACTAAACAATACGGTCTCATTTGTTAACATAAGTTAATGAATGCATTAATAAACATGAACTAACAATGGACGATATATTCCAACATCACTGATTAAACATTGTTAATGTTATTTAATAAAAATGTTCATGTTACTTCAATTCACAGTGCATTAAAGGTGCATTATGTAATATTGATAGCTAGTGGTTGAAATGGGTACTGCAGTCCAAATTCAAAATATCACCCTGTCCTTTCAGACTCAACAACACTCATTCAAGGCAAGCAAAAGGAATGAGCGCAATTGACAAGCGATGAGCCTTTCACTGTAAGCTGATCAACTTACTAATGCATACGTTTGCAATGTTTTTTATTGCCAAGGCTTTTTAGGTCAGCTAGAATCTGCAATTTCTGACACAGTTCGTTTGCTTACTTCAATGATAAACTGTGTTTTTCACTAACTGGCAACCCCGGGTATCGAAATACTATTGGGTAAATTCGCTAATGGCCGGGATCACACAGACCGAAAACAAAAACAGACATTTCGACACGGAATAGCATTGCTCAGCATTGCTTTTCGGAGAAACGAGTATTTGAGCTAACCATGTTTACTAAATCTCTGCTAACATATTATGGTGCTTTTATGCTTTAGTACAAAAGAAATGACATTCATCACCTTTAACTAATGTAGTTAACTAATATTAACAAATGAAAACTTGTAATGTAATGTTATAATTTACATTATCACAAAATAAATACGAATCAATTTCTCTCCGATAAAGATTTCTCCGACTGCCCTTGAGAACCTAAAGTTGCAGTCCGTAGTTTTTTTTGGGTTAAAAATTATCCAAAATAGATATTTGAGAAAATACATAACCAAGTACAAGTACAAAACGGAAGGAAATTACATGAAGTCACGCAATGCTGACGATATGATAACTTATAAGTGATTGTTAGATTTACTCAGCGCGATTTACTGCAATGTCAGAACCAGAACAAAAGTGGATGTTACTAGTTCAGATGACATTTTCCGGTGAAAATTATTATGTTGGTCATACTTCCAAAAATAATTATAATCTGTGAACCTGAATGCCAATCCACATTGGTGACCGACAGCTGCACACTCTCCTCAAACATTGTGTTCATCCACGCTGTGCCGTGTCGAGGGTGTCGAAGTACAACTCACGTAAAGTTGATAATTCCACGAATGACTGCAATTGCAGATTTCGAACAGAGATGGCGACAAAGAGGAAAAACTGCGGACTGCAGCTTTAATTTAGGGAAACAGTTGAACATGTAAGCATTCGATCTGCATGCACAGTTCAGTGTAAAGAGCCTCCCCTGTGTGAGAGTTCAGTGGGCCTGAGCAGCCGCTGATTATCCGGCCCTTCAGCCTTTAATCTGCTTTCCTTCAGTCTCCCTAATGAAGTCAGAGCCCAGCGTCTGATCTTTCACTTTCACTCCAGCTTTCAACATCCCTGAGTCTGACACATGGGCCCAAACTGTACCATACCGTTCCTTCATTCTCCTGTAATCAACAGTCAGGGATAAACAATCCCTGGAGAATTAGACCGCTAACAAACAACGTCTAAACTGTGTTTATTGAAAAACCTGACACACTTTCTCGTGTTGTAAATTAGAAGCAGAAACAGTCCCTGAGAAACATCACACAGGGGTAATGTGTTGCATAAATGATTTTCATTATGAACAGCACACAGCTGCATTAATGCATAATTCAGCTCACGTGAACACTACAGGAACATGTGCTGGCTGGCATTTGGCTATCAATGTGAAATGCTGAACTAAGGAATCTCAAAGTCTGTGGAATCAGCAGTATAATGGGTACTGACTTTGAATCTGCCTTTTCTTCGGGTGAACCTGAAGGGGGCGTACCTGGCGCGCACATCTGACACCTGATCCGTCATCTGGCCCAAGGTCTTGGCTGTTCCCAGGATCTCTCGTCTCTCTTTCCCAGCACAAAGCTCACCCACTTTTTCTGCTTCATCCAGTATCTGACGCAAAGCATGCTCTCCTGGATCTCCTGCGAGAACATCCAGAGCAGCTGTTAGGCCACTACACACTCATATTTTTAATCTATTTCAATTAAAATCATCTACATTACACAAATGTTGTGTACACTACTGTTTAAAAGATTTTTTAAAGCAAATCAATAGTTTTATTCTGCAAGGATGCATTAAATTGATCAAAAATGGCAGTAAGACATAATATTGCAAAAGATTCAAATAAATTCTGCTGTTTTATTCATCAAAAAGTCTTGTGTTCACCAAAATTTTAAACAGAACAACTGTTTTCAATATTGAAAATTTCCTGAGCAGAAAATCAGCATATTAGAATCATTTCTGAAGGATCATGTGACACTAAAGATTGGAATCATGATGCTGAAAATTCAGCTTTTGTCATTACAGGAAATAAATTAATTTTGTTTTGAAAACAATGTTTTAAATTCTAATGATATTTCACAATATTACTATTTTACTGTATTTTGATTTAATAAAAACAGCTTTGGTGAGCAGAAGATACTTTTTTTTCTTTAAAAACTATTAAAAAAATTCTTACTGACCACAAATTTTGAATAATAGTGTATGGCATACAGAACTAGTTGCATCGTATTATACTTTTTTATTTGTTTATTTAATTATTTTTCCAAAAAAAATAGGTAATTATTTTAATTATTAATACTTTTGGTAAAGTGTCATGTCATAATAAAAATGTTCTCTACATAGAATCAAACCACTTTGTTAGCATGTAAAGATCCAATACAGATTCAGATAGGTTTTATTAACGCATAAATGTTGGCGATCACATATGAGGTCATAAAGTTGCCGAAAAAAGAAGCAATTTGTGCAATAAATGTTAAAATTCCACTGAGAAAAGAAGTTTGACAAAGAAAATCCATTCCTGACATGACTTCCTCAACACCTGAAAGATGACAGTGAGCTATAATGGATGTAGTTATGTTACCTGGTAGGCCGTTAGGGTCCCTCAGCCATATTTTAGCAGGACCCATCTTTGACTCTATCAGAGCTAGCGCTCTCTTCATGGCCTCAGTGTCCTTCAAAGAAAAAGTGTGTGTTAGTAGTCAGTAATGTTTTTCATTTAGGCCTTAAAAGGCAGGAAATAATCGCATGTATCAGAGAGGATACAGTTGTTGTTTTTTTGCGGTTGCATATGTGCTCATATGAGGGAGTAGATGTAAAAGGATGGGGCTCTGCAGCTCTTTCCCTCTGAAGGGTAAGAGGAGCCTCTGCCTCTCTCAATCACACACACAAAGTGCGAGAGCGACCCACATAATCACCACTTCACACTCCACTGCACCGCGGCGCGCACACATTTGGAGGAGAACTCGTCTGTTTGAGTAACTCAGCCATGCATATGGCACTCCTCTCTACTGCAGTCTAAAGCAATCATCATCTGCACTGACAATGCATTCAATGCACACATTATCGCAAATATGTGCATATCAAGAGCATAACACTAAATGACAATAACGACAAATGAAGGGCATGAGTGTGAAATTATGTTCAGTGTGAGTATCAATGCCATGCCTTCAATACTGACACCTCAGATTATTTCAGCTTATTGAGGATCTATGAATTTTCTAACTGATGTGACTTTGCAGCAAGTAATAACAGACTGGCAACACCCTAGCAACCATTCAGAATACCTTAGCAACTACAAACATACTCCAGCCATATCTGCAAACCAGAATACGAGAGACGAGGGGTGAGATCTTTTGATTTACGGCAGTGTTTTGAGGCCCCGGTCATTTCTTGCTACAAATATACCAGAATAAGGGAAGCATAATACTAACAATAATTTGTTAAATTTATATTGCACTTTTATGGATACTTAAAATGCAATACATATGGAAGGATGAATCTCAACTACCACCAATGTGGAGCATCCACCTGGATGATGCAACAGCGGCCATATTGCACCCAAATGCCCACCACACACCAGCTTATTGGTGGAGATGAGACAGAGTGATGAAGCCAATCAGTTTATAGGGATGATTAGGAGGCCAGGATGATGGACAGAGGCCAATGAGAAAATTTGAGGAATTTATATGACCACAGAGGACCTTGGTTGACAATGTGGCAAGCAGGACGAGGCCTTAATCTGGAAATCTACATATATAGATTTTTGTTGTTGTCTTTGATTCAGCAAGATAGGGCAATAATGGACCTTTCAGAAAGAGTGCTAACTGAGTTATTGTTTTTGCATGTGGCATTTCCAGCAGGAGACACTCTGGCAGCTGAAGTAGTAGATCCATTCAGGAGAGGGAGACGGGTAGGAAATGAACCCCTCGCATCTGCTCCAGCTGCCTATTATACTCCATCTCAGTATAGTAAAATACAGTTTGTTTTAAAATGTATCTACAATATACAGCTAGATTCCTGTCAACCCACTTTCATAAATCAATATTATGAAATGAAAAATACCCAAATATAGTTTGCGGTGATCCTGATGCAAACCTGAAGCACAAGTATAATCAATGAGTCCTCTTTCAGCTAAAACGAATTATCCGCCCAATCCATTTCCTCTGCTTACTTTGCCTGCCTGCTCTCCAGTAACTGCTGATTTCCAGCCAACCGTCCAGCATGCAGCAAAACAGATCACATTATTTGTAAGTTGATGAGTCATTTCCTATTCACGTGCATTAATGGATAGATTGAGCTCAGGATTGGGTTGCATTCTCAAGCTGCAAAATCCAGGCAAATGCAACATTAATGACAATAATAAATGTTTTTTGAGCACCAAACCAACAATGGAATAATTTCTGAAGGATCATGTGACACTGATAACTGGAGTAATGAGGCTGAAAATTCAGCTTTGCCATCAGAGGAATATAAATTACATTTCAAAACATATTCAAATAGATTTTTTTATTTTAAATTGTAATAATAAAAATTAATGTTTACTGTATTTTTATCAAATAAATGCAGCCTTGCTGAGCATAATGTTTCAGAAACATTAACTCCAAACTTCTGAGTGGTAGTGTGTGTGTGTGCGTGGTCCTGGTATTTCCTATTTTATGGATAACAAGGTACATTTTAAAGGGTGTGTAAAAGGAACCTAACCCTTACAATTCCATAGTGCATTAGTTATTATTATTAACACACTCTTTAATAAGAGCAGAGCTGCTGCTCCCAGCACAGAGGGTGGAGCTTCAACAACTTGCACTCACACCGACATGCACTGAAAATTAGACGGTTGGTCTGGAAACGCCCCCGGGGAACGCCCCGTCACGTGATGTGAATTTAGCCCGTGATGGAACGCATTGCCTCGGCGCTCACTGAAATACACGCAACAATCATGCCGAAGAGTTGTTGTGTCATTTTCTGTACTGCCAATATACTTTATTTTATAAATTGAAGTAGTATAAGTAGTATAAACTGAGTAGATCCCTGTGTGATATAATAGTGGGTGTTAAACTCGTATTAGGCAATGGGCCAGATTTTTCTACTTCCCTTACGAAAAAGAACAATAGTAATCCTATAAGATTTGTATTATACTGTAATTCTTCTATGATGTTCTGTAATCCCAAAATACTATAGTATTCTTATAGGATTACTATAATATTTTATCCTAGCCCCATGCAGACTCCGCCCTCACCACGCCCCCAAATATGACTAGTTGCTGTATGTATGTTCAAACCAGAGTCCGACAAAGATGGAGAGACTCAAGGCTCAAGAAGAGGTGACAACATTTCTAAATGGGTAGTTGATTAATTTATGTAGCTGATGTGTAAATAATTAACATATTCTGTCTTGCTTTGAACTTCGAGCGAACTTTGCAGATGTTGTTTATGTTCAAAAAGCAACATCACACACTAACTAAAGTTCGAAAAAAAGTGAAATCATAATCAACCACCCCTTTATATTAGCTAACTAGTATCACTTACTCCTTTCAGTAGATGAGATTTAAAGACCCACATGAAATAAAAAATTAAGTTTTATGGCTTTGAGCTCGATCAATGTCCTAGTATACACCTAAAAGACAATATTAGCTCAATTTACAATCTTTCTTTTCAGGGAAAATGATCAAAAAGATTGATGATTCATCAGTCACACTTAGAGGCATATACAAATTTGGTCCGATAAAATTCTCTCAACAATCAGAGCAACCTCCAACAAGCAACAGCCAATGTCTCATGATGACTAAACCACTTTTTATTGCAAAACTAAACTAAAGGCTATTGGCTGTTTCAATAAAAAGTGAGGAGCTTTACAATATATACCACCCCAATTTTCTATTTCAACAAGAAATTCATGAACACAAAAGCAAACTGCACTCGTCAAGCCATTTCATTGGATATTTAAAAGTGGGTGGAGCGATGCATCAGGAGTCATAGAGCACAACATCAGGTTGATCTGGTAAGACAGCATTCAGATTAAAGGAACGTGTACAGCGAGAGCCATGGAGAAAGACATCAAGTGTTAAAAAGTTGTCACTTTCAGAGCAAGACATTAGTGATTAACTGTGTGACAGTGTGTCTAAAAGACGGATGATAAGAGAATGGGAGATGTGAATGTGGAGGATGAGTAATGGCACAGTTGCATTCCACAGCATATCAGAAAACAACTTCTCCAATTGCAATTTATTGTTTTGTTTTGGTGCTAGGTTTCTGAAATACATCACCCCTTAAACATACAGCATTTAAAAGCCAGGCTGAGAAAGGGCTTTCTATCAAGCATAATGTAAAAAAAAAAAAACAAGAATGAAAATACTAACACAGACATACAGTTAGCAACACAATGATCTGGCATGCAGTTCGAGGCATTACAGAGCGGGAGAGAGGAGAGCTTACCTTCTATAGGAAGGGAAAAAAATGGAAGAACACAGAACCGAAAGAGAGCAAAAAAGAAAGAGGCATGTTTACAGAGTTATATCAGGGCAAAAAGAAAAAACAGAGGTGACAGCAAAGTAAATGAAAGCTTAAGAAACTGATTTTGAGAGTAGAGTGGTTTCTTATGAAAATATGTAATATGCATGCTAAGCAAGCAAAGGGTGTCATCAATCAGGTTCAGTAGACTTCGTGAAATATTAAACGGCAGATCGTTAATCTAACGGTTAAACACTGATGCCGTGATGATGTTTTTTTAATCTATGCTGGTTATTAGGCCTGTGTATTTTAATGTAATATAGTCAGTGAATTCTGAGCCTGACTGTGAACAGTCCAGGAAATGGAACAGATTATTACATTAGCAGGATGGGAGTGTCAGATTCATTTAGAGAGAAAAACAAAGATACAACAAGGGGTCTCCATTGAACGCAGATTTCTTTTTTGAAGCGGCCGTGTATTTTTCCCATTCATTTTCTTTAAATGCACATAAAAATTATGAACTAAAACAACCAGCTTTCAGATAAATCACAAGATTAGAAAATGTGGAAAAAAATTTGAACTGCTGTGACTGAATCCGTCATAAGGTACAATACAAAACAACTGATTATTATGTCTACGTTTCCAACTCTAAAATAAATTGCACCTCTTAAAGGGATACTCCACTTTTTTTGGAAATAGGCTCATTTTGTACTCCCCCACTGTTTTAAATGCATTGAGCCGATATTCTGATATTTAGAAGAATATCAGTAACCAGACAGTTTCTGGTCTCATTGACTACCATAGTAGGAAAAAAATAATCCTATGGCAGTCAATGAGACCAGAAACTGTCTAGTTACTGATATTCTTCTAAATATCAGAAAATCAGCTGAATGGATTAGAAAATGGTAAAACTCATCTGTTTAACTCTGGGGGAGTGGTAAAATGAGCCTATTTCCAAAAAAAGTGGAGTATCCCTTTAAGCTCAAATCAACAAACAAAAACTGTAGCAACGGGTCCTAACCAGACAGGATGCTGCGATATGCAATAAAAATGTATATTGTACATGTTAATCAGAGATTTTGTCAACTCCAGACACACACGAGGCGACGGGAGATAAAATTTGAACTCAGTTAAAAAACTGATAATGCACACATCAAATTTGTTGCAAATGTGAAGCAGAAGTGCTTTTGCAGAGAATCTTATCGCATTGCTTTTAGTTAGGACAAGGTGTAAGGAATGACATTCATTCCTAAAGCAGCTATATTAATTATAAAGCATATGCAGGCTATGCTTATAGTTTTTTAACTGTAAAGCACAGTCGATATATTGAGTTACAATTACAATTTCTCCCATTATATGTCCGAGTGGATCATCAAGGCTATTACATTATCATCAAAAATACAATTTTCTGTGGATTTTTACATTACTAATGCCACTGTCAGGTTTACCTTTTGGAAATATAGTAAATTAAAAATTGTACACTTCAATTTCCCAGGGATGGTAGGAACTGTCTAATCTTTTGAAGCAAATGTAGCTTAATGTAACTGTTTAAGGTGGGGTTGTAGGAAGGAGTGTATGCGTTCATGTAAGTGATAAGGCTCATACTTTGTTGGCCCAGGCGTCCTCGTCCCAAGAAGTGAGTTGCAGCACTCTGATAATCTCGTTGATCTCGGCGCTCATCTTCTCAAACGTGTAGTTTCTGTTCTTCAAGGCCTCCTCCACACCGTGACTCTTAGTGCACTTGGTTGTCACAAAGATTTTAATTGCTAATGGGTATCAAAAAACATTTTTTAGTACTCCCTTTCATGGGCTATTTAAAACTACTTTACAGATCAATACTAAAGTGCAGTTTATATCTGATGTATCCAAAAATCAGGCAACCAATTATCTCCATATGAGTATACATATTTTCAAGCATCAACATTAAAAGCCTTTCTGCGTGTACAGATTATCCGCCATCAACCCGACTATTTATTGCTGAGCCAACTGCAGAAATCCAACTGGATGAAGGGAAAAATCTATCCCTCCCACTAAGGCGGTTAAATGGCTCCAATTATCAGTGTTGCCATATCAACGGCTGGCACACAGAGATGACACGCAGCGCGCACACACACACACACAGCGGTTCGCTGGTCTCTCACCAGATATGAGCACGGGAAGCAGTTCCTTCACTGTGTTCATGGAGGTGACCAGCATCACACGGTGCTCTTGGTGAGTCAGCTCCTGTTGCCGTTCGTCAATCATCTTTGCCATTTTCGTCATGCCTAACAAAAAATACATATTAAACAGCTGTCTCAGATATCTCTTATACTCACCAAGGCTCAATTTATATGATTAAAATAGTAATTTTGTGATAATATTATTACAATTTAAAATAACTGTTTTATATTTGTACTGTTTTACTATTTTACTGTACATTGTAAACTAATTTATTCATTACAGTAAATGTCTTTAGTGTCACTCCTGATCAATTTAATGTATCCTCACTGATTAAAGTTTTTTCTTTCAAAAAAAAAAAAACTTACTGACCGCAAACTTTTGAACGGTTTGGGGTTAGTAAGTGCATAGTCATGTGATGTGCATTTCTGAAAAAAAAAAAAACTGTTTTTCAACAGTTCATGCTATACATTAAGCACAAATAGAAGCAAGAAAAAAGGCGACTAGAAACTGAAAATGCCTCACAAGTAGAAGTTCATCCCTCCAAAAAATACCACCGAATGAAAACAGTTGAATAGGACATGTATAACAAATAACAGTTTTTCATGGTCATAGTCATACCCTCATTTAAAGATTATTTTCTTAAAGAGTAACAAAAAACCTTTATAAAACAATCATTTAACAATAATAACAATGGATCCATTTCATCCAAATAATCCCTGCCAAATGTTAATTTGCATGAGTCAACATGTCAACAGCGTCAACTCAAATTCAAGTCAGAATGAAATGAAAACTCTTCAACAGGAAGTAACAGATACATAAAAGCATTACACAGTACCTGGTCCCAGGTTTTTAGTGTAAGTGATCAAGTCCTCCATGGTTTCCACAACCTCTGCAACAGCCAGGTACTCCAGGATCCCCTTACACACGCGGATAATTTTACGCACCTAAAAAAGACATAAAATACCAATGATACAAAAGAAAAAGACATTTATTTGAGGGAAAAAAATGATCCAAAGAAACTTACAGTGCGCTCAGAATAACAGTATTAAATGATGTCCAATACACATATATATATATATACCAATATATGAGGAGTTCAGATGCAAAAGCCTCTAAGTGCCATTTGAAATTTTGTTCTAAAATGATAATTTTTATCAAGCTTGTATATTTCAGTTCAGTAATTTCACTTAAATGGCAATGAAGATTACCTATTAATAGTCATTTAAGTGAAATTACTGAACTTAAATATACAAGCTTGATAAAAATGACCATTCTAGAAGAAAATTTCAAATGGCATTTAGAGGCTTTTGCATCTGAACTCTTCATATATATATATACTGTACTGTATATATATAAATTATACTCTACCATTCAAAAGTTATGCTATACATTTTATACATTTATTTATTTCCTAGGATTCAAGCCCATGACATTTGCGTTGCTACCACCATGCTCTGCCATTGAGAACTAATGGTTTATTTGGCAGGTTGCTGCCGCAACAGGCGAACCCGCAAGATACAGCACAGTACAAAACATCAAGCTTACTCAGTGCCCTTTGAACAACACAGCTCCTTGAGAAAGATGATAGCAGCACTATTAATAGAGCTCATAGAGTTAGCCTTCACCACAAACCAATGATCTAATATCTTCTTGCCAATGGATGTACATACACACCACATGACACAATCTGAGCTCTATTGGAAATGTTTAATTTCATTAGAAATATTGGGTATTACTAATCACTTTTTAATAGCACAGCAGTTACTGGCACTAGATGGTCTTAAGGAGTTTTGGTTTTGAATACATATTATGAGCCTATTTACTCTGAGCTGCTGGGTTTTGCGTCTTGTCTTGTGATGAGAAATCTTGTGACACGCAGAAGTAGAAACTTCAAAAGTACTAGCTTGTGCTGATAGAAGACACACTGTGCAAGGCGGCTCACTCGGATCATGTGCTCCGGTGTGAGCTCCATTATGCTGCGCCCACACGGGAAGCTGGATATATGGTACATTAGGACCACAAGGTACTCCGCATGACAAGGGACTGTGTATTTAATGTTGTTAGGCCAGAAGAAAAGCTTTTTTTTTTTGTATAGATGATCCAAAGAATTCAAATTCAGGATGTCTTTACGAATCCAATCTTCAATCAGATTTGAAAAAGAAGAGAATAAAAAAAATACATGCATTTTACACATGATGATGATCTTTCCCAGATCTACTGAGGATTCACATGAAAGCGCACATGCAATATTCACATCCAAAAATCAAATAATCAACAGTACATGACTCACTTTGACAAGCAAATTGCTTGAAGATAAAAATATTGCTGTCTGTTAAAATCTCTTTCAAGATATATTATTTCCCAGAAAAAAAGGTGTAGGCCTAATATCTCCTCTCACTGTGCACTTTACAATCACAGATAACACAATTTTAAGTCTACATTTTAAAAATATTTCAAACTATAGCTGCACAATTAATTGTAAAAAGGTCGCAATATCGATTGAAACACACACGCAATCTCATTCAACTGACAACAACTCGCATGTGTCATTTGACAAAATCACACCGGAAGCTTCAAATCAGTGTTCACGCTGCCACTGAGCCAATATAGTACACAGTATTGATATAAAACAGGTTCACAACCTCACAGGAGTGCGTTTCACCCAAAGCATCGTTGGCCAATTATGATCGCAATTTCCATTGAACTCTATTGGTAACGCCGGAACTTGGAACCATAGTTGGCTTTGGGAAACACACCCCAGTTTTATTTTTGATGTGTTAAAAATATTAGAATTATCAGAAGTACTTGAATAAAAGTTTATAGTTCAGATATAAACGCTAAATGTCTATGGCAGCGAAAGTAACTTACTTGGTGCTTCAAATAACGATTGTATCAATTACATTGTTACGTAATAATGTAATTCAATCACAGAAATATATTTGTCATTTGTCACTGAATCACTCATTCAAGATATTCATTCAAAAGCGCTGATTCATGTAGTAATGAAACAAGTGAAGTATTTATAAGAGAATCATTGAATCAGTAATATACAGCCATTTATAAAAATAATGAATTCAGATAAATTAGCTAAACGTTTTAAATAGACTGCAGCAATAAACAATTTGTCAGAATCTCTAATAAGGTACATGCTATTTTGTGTATTGGTCTGTTCAGAATCATGGGAGAATCATAGCTAGAATCAAGCAGTTCTATTTACAACACTTAATTTTTAAGATTTATTTAAAATATTATGTCATTCTTCTACCAGTGTGCAGTATTTGTTCACAAAGCCATAAAATCAATAATACTTTTTAATTGTGTGATCCAAGTTTAGGCTAATTTTAAGTCTATAATGCTCATCAAGGCTGCATTTATTTGATCACAAATACAGTAAAAAAATAATAATATTGGGAAAGAGTATTATGCTTTTCAAAGATCTGTTTTCTATTTTAATGTAATTAATGTAAATGTTATTTATTCCTGTGATAGCAAAGATGAATTATTATGATCCTTCAGAAATCATTCTAAAATTCTGATTTAGTGATCAAGAAACAATTCTTATCGTTACAATAATCAATTAAAAAAAAGAGTTGTGTTGCTTAGAATTTTTGTGGAAACCATGATACATTTAGTATTAGAAAGCATCCTAGCTGAATTAGGATGTAAGTGACACAGTTAAATCATTCATCTCAATTATTTTTAGGAAAATGAATCATCAGATGAAATTTCATCATTAAGATAGACCTCATTCCCATTAGTACCTCTGCCTCGTCAAAGGTCAAAAGCAGATCTGAAGTCCCAGAGAGGATGCCCCGCGAGCCATCAATGAGGTAATCACGGGCCGGGACAGAGTACGGGTCTGTCTTCAGCATCTGAGCTGCTTCCACAAGCTTCGCACAGGCATTCTCCACCCTGAGAAACAAGAAACATAATGACTGAGTATATATCATTTATATATCATTATATTCATAAATCATTTGTATTGGTTGGCCTTTTATACAGGCTCCAAAAAAAAATCTAATATAAGAAATTTTTTTTTAATCATACCGTATGAATTCCAAGGTCAAATCTCATCAATGCTAAATGAATTAAATATTAAGTGCAAAAAGAAAAACTATGCATTTGATTCAAATAAGAGGTGGCATTACTAACTGACTTAATTGCAATTAAATTACTGGCCCACTAAATCAGCTTTCCAGCAAGAAGAGTAAGATCTTCTCCCAGATAGATAACAATGTATTAATAGAAATTAAAACCACATCCCAGTCGCCCCATGGACCCCGGGACAGGAGAGCAAGATGATGACGTCTTCAGGAGAAGGCCTTTCATCATTATTCTGCGGTGGAGACCCAGACGTACGCAGACACCTCCCTGTATGAGGCACCACTCTGGTTTCGATGCTTACAACAGAGCCTATTTATAGAGAGGTTCACATTTCCTGTCACCAGCCACATGTGTGCTGATTGATGAGCCCTGTGCCAGCTTGTGTTTATGGTGCCAAAACGTTTAGTTAGTACTAATGAAAATGTAATTCCTGATAGTCAGAAATAGACATCTTTTATATTAATATCAATAATTCACATTTTGAAATAGTACAAATTGAATTACCGATTAAAAAAATGCATCCTGTGGATTAATATAAGCTAAAAATGGCAAATGTTTTAAATGATAAAAGCAATAATTGATACTTGATAGTTATTATTTACTGAGGGATGTGCATCCATATTGACCAGTATGTCCAGCCAATCAACATTTTAAATGTAATATAGGCAATGTCAATAGATTGCTTTCCATCTTGCTTTATTGCTGACTAGAGGTCGACCGATATGTTTTTTTTTTCACGCCGATGCCTATACCGATCTTTTGTAATCCAGGTTGGTCGATGGCCGATTAATGCTGCCGATTTATTTTGGCCGATATTTGCTTGGTTTTTAACCTCTATTTGAAAGATAAAATGTAAAAGAAATGATAATTACGTAACATAGACAAACTTTGTCAACAAAAACATTTTATCCTCTCAAAAAATGTCCCTGGTGTATTTTTGGTTTGTTTTGTTTGTTGATGGACAAAGACAAATGGACATAACCTAATGGGCTCTATGCACGGCGGTATTTCCGGTGAAGATGTAAGGATGCTCGATAACTTCCGCCGATCGTAGAGTCCAATGCAATACCGAGAATTTATATTGAATTTTATACTCCATGGTTATACTAAAGAAACGTTAGTCACAAAAACAGATAAAACAGACACCCCTCGTTGTGTTTGTGCTTCTTTTTAAAATTATATTAAATAAACATAACTATATATAAAATTACATCTAAACGTATGTACGTTTCGTTTCAAAGACAGGAGGACAGTAAATTTCGAAGACTCTGCCATAATCCCGTTTTCCTCGATTTTCCTCCGCTTTAATCTCCACAACCGGAAATGGACGAGCATCCTTGCGTCAAATGCGGAACTTATGCATGCATATAGCCCATTATCACAAAAAAGGAGAAAAAAAACTTTAAATTATTTATTTTTTATATATATATAAGATTTATTATATTTATTTTATTTAACTTCTAACAATAACATATTTTACTAGTAAATTGCTGTTGAACGACAAAAACAACCACCAGATGGGAAAATGATTTTTTTTACAAAAACTTTAAATGCACCACAACGCACTGTCCGTCTGTTGTTCTTCAGACAACGACATCCCGCTGTTGGACCTTTTAGTCTACAGTGAAGTACTGTCACACTTAACACTGTTTTAACACTGGATTTTAAGCATGTTTAATCCAGCTACTAACTAACGGTCAGTGTTGTGCCTGAACGCGTTCATATTTAGGTCTGCTGCTCACTCGGCTGGAAAATGATTCTAGCGGCAGCGTGCGTCAAACACATGTTCCACGACAACACTAGGCTGCCCACAGATGCGCCTACCTAATAATCGGATTGATATACTTGGATATTGGCCGATGCCGATTATGTTAAAAAATGCCAAAAAAAATAAAAAATTATAATTAAAAATAATTAAAAATTAAAAAATAATTAACACAATATTAGAAAAAAAATAATTAAAAAATACAGATTAATCGGTCGGCCAATTAATCGGCCGACCTCTATTGCTGACTGGGAGACTAGATAATCAAACACTGAGGACAGAAGGTGTCCACTTGAAGACCCTTGAGATGTCCCCTACTCGGTTCAATCCAGACGGTTGTCGTGCTGGTCCACTGGGGAGACCACACTGTAGTTGCAGCCGTTGTGACAAAGCTACGTCTTAGTTTGTGCTTATCTTGGCGAAAGCCAAGCACAAATCAGCATGGATACGTCCAGTGAATGCGATGAATAGTCCTTCTGGCAACAAGGGAAAGACCTTGTGACAGCCTGGAGGAGGAAAGAAACCCCTTTCCTCCTCCAGGCTGGGGAGACCTCACTGTAGTTGCAGCCGCTGTGTGGTATTAGTATATTTCTGCCCTCAGCCATTCCCCCCATGAAAGAGAGGGGTGGGGTAAGCAGTTGCTCAATATCATATACACCGAAACAGGTCAGTGTGAACAAAGCTGTTTTTGAGGAAGTATTTTACAAACTTTACATGAACCCCCAGAAGAATCATACCAACTAGTGGAAAATGGGCATCCGATGACCCCTTTAAGTTGTGGGAAGCAAAGGAACAAACACCTCTTTGTGTTCTCTGTGACTTTCTGACTGAGACTGAGAGAGCGAGGAAAAAAAAATTGTGAAAGACAGACACAAACAGACAGTGCATCAATATTAAATAGATTCAACACTAACTGCTCCATCTACATCAGATACCAAGACACCACTTCACACACCCGGGGAGACACTAGGGAGAGCAGTCATATAGTTTTTACGTAGAATTATCAATAATGCATTGTAAGCTCGCTGGAATACGCCCCCAATCTTTAGCAGTGAGGGTATGACTCAGCCCCTGACGGCAAGCAAACGGACCTAATTTAACTTCCACATCACATTGTGGAGCATTCTTCAGTATCAAGACATCCAAAGACCTCATGCACTCTGAAATCAGGCTTTATAGGAGCCTAATATTGTGTAAAATAAGGATAAACAAACAGCTTCTGATGTTTAGACAATCCTATCTTATGTTTAATCACTTAAAACTTCTTTTGACAAGGCAAAGAAATGCACATGGCTTGTTAATGCTGTTCAATGAGCATGTCTGTGTTCAGTGTGATCAGAGTTTATGTATGATCACATGATGAGCGCCTGGAGAGAGACAAGAAGTACAGGTCTTACTTAATGAAGGCCGGAGGCATGTCTCTCTTCATAATCTTGTCTTCTGTGGTCTGAACCGTCTCCTTCCCCACCTAAGAACACATGCAAAACAAGCTTGTTTACAAGATGCATAATGATGAGACCATTTACATGCATTTTTATTTTTCTTACACCAGCTGTAACAAAGTTATTCACACAGGGATAAGCTTCAGCCCTCAGGCACACCAGATTGACAAAGCTTGTGAATGGGGTCGCTCTGAGTATCTGGACACAATAAGGGCCTATCTGTTTTGAATGAGCACTGAGGCTGATCTGCTGCTCGCTGTCTGGGATGCTGCCAGTACCTCCAAGTGTCAAATATAAAACAACAACAATCCACAACCCATGCTGATCATCTGCCATTACTATACCCATTTATTATTAAAATGATACAAAATAACTAGAGCCCGACAGATAAAGGATTTTGAAGACCGATACCGATACAAATATTTGTTGGTTTTAAAATCCGATATATCGGCCCATATTATTATAATATTTTTTTATTTCAGAAACGCGCAACAAAACATTAATGGATTTCCCTATTATCCCTAACATCAGTTATTTGTTATTTGGTATAAAAGAAACGTGTTTCTTTTGTCAAAACATAACAGAGGAACATCAAAATATATTAAAGTTCTGATAAATAAAATAATAATTAGTCCCTACATAGCCTTATTAGCTAACTTATAATTACAATGTCAGTTTACTTATCCCTTTACCTGCACTTTTTAAATTCTTTCCATCAAGCTACTTCAAACCATTTTCAATCATCGGTTGCTGCCTGCCTTTTTAAAACCTATTTAGCGATTCTAAATCCATTACAGAACGACAGTCTGCAACGCACACTTGGCGTCGTAGGATGTGTGGCGCGTTATACACGAGTGTTGCCAACAGAGACGGTGTAGAGTGCCCTCTGGTGCACAAACTATACAACTCCAACACTCATGACATGGTTGAAGCGTGATTTTTCCGTTTTTATTTTATTTTTGAAATATTCATTTATCGCCATTATAACTGCCGATGCCGATATTTTAGAAAATGCCTAATATCGGCGATAATATCGGCCTGCCGATATATCGGTCTGGCTCTAAAAATAACAATATACATAAAACATGTATATATGTAAAAAAATACAATGAAATAGGGGAGGGGGGATACTATAAGTTTATGGCTCCTGTCAACCAACATTCGTCATAATATCTTCTTTTTTGTTCAATAGAAGAAACTTATTTTCATTTTACTAAACATTGTTATTAAACTATTTTCTAATTATTCAATTCATGCCGATGAATGTCTGTTTCAAATTGATTCAAGTCATTGACTTTTTTTGCATCATGCAAAAATACTTTTGGCTAAACGTCCAACCCTATCAGCCATTAATCTGAAAAAATAAATAGAGCCCTTAATTAAAATACAATATAATACAATTAAAATACTTAATAAAATAAAATAAAATACAGCCCCTGATTCTCTCTTACATTACACAAAACCATTAAATCATAATCCTGAAGTGACACGATATTAGACCACAAGCACACACATGCTCACATCGTTGTGGTTTATTTGGCCTTTCACTGGACATAAGGAATGACATTACAGTGTCCTTCTTTAGAGTCCACTAATGCAGAGATAGCAGCAGAACAGAGAGATGTTTGTTATCTCTGCACAGCACATGGCCACTTCCCGCCGGCTCTTATTTTCCAATGATGTAATCACACCAAGGCAATCAAATTAATTTGTCTGTCCTCCATCTCTGAAACGTATTTGAAGACGACATTCAACCTCCCATCAAACTCTAGTCACTATCATGAGTTGAAATTTGTATCTATTTGTAACCATTGATCGCATTGGAGTTGTGTACATGGAGGATGGTGCTTTTGTAGTGCACACTCTTTTACTGGGCCCTAATTGGGTGAAGGGGACCCATAAATACGTCAACTGGGTTAACTGCTGGGCTAAAGTGGGAACAGCAATCACATTTGCACTCACAGTAGCCAGTCACAAACATCAGTCCTGTGCACGCTGATGCCTGTGTGCATGCCTGTTTGGTACAGTATGTACTGAATAAGAATGAAGTCTTTCCGGATAAACATGAAGTACCCTTCCACCAGTCAAATTGTCATGTGGTCAGTCAAAGGGTTGAACTCTTGCACATATTATTTTCAGTGTATCTGAGACTTATTATTGTCTATTGGCACATCTAAATGCTCTTCTCGGTGGGGCCTCCACCTTTCACTTCTCTTGAGATACTGGACCTTCAACAACATTCTCCATGGTTATTCTTAGCTCAGTCCTGGTCTATTAGGCCATCTGAGGGGCAAGGGGCAAAAAGCAATGCTGGCAAATAAGAGCAAGTTTATAAGCAAGCACCGAAGATTCTAAAGCAACAAATGAACAGGTATAATTGCACAAAATATGTATTTAGATTAGAACAATACCAAAGTCCTTTTAGGCAAGTTGTGCCACTCGGCTGACATCTTGGTAACGCCTCCGGGCAGCTAAAAAAGTTTGATGACTTTGCACCAAAATAAGGCATACAATGCATACAACCGCCATCTTTGGCATTACAGGTTTTCCCTATATAGTTGTATTGAGGATTTACAAAGTGGCATGTCTCTATATAGATTGTCTCTGACAATACTGAATCAAGTATCCTTGCTATTACTACCTGCACCTAAACTTAGATGAGGAAAATAAAGCAGTAAATATGTGCTGACAAAGCACTACACTGTCAAACATGTCCAATTTCAGAAAAAGATAACAATTCTACCGTAAAAACCTGTTAATTGGTTAACTATAAGCTACCTTAGGTTTGCAATGAAAAATACTATTGCCATTTTAAAAAACACAATATGATCATAATTTATGAGAAAAACATTAATACAACATTTACAGTGGAATTTAATGTTTTTTGTTACCATTTATGAGCATCAATCCATTCTATATAAAATTTTAAATTATAAAGTAATTAGGGCCCGAGCAGGACCCTATTGTTTTTGCTCTGTTTTTTATTATTGTTTTTTTTTTTTTTTTTGTATTTAAGTGATCAGAATTAAGGTCTGCTCACACTAAGAATAATCTGTATCCTGCAGTTATGTTGACAGACCATAACTGAACTGCTCAATTACAATAGACATAACATTATCTATTAGTGTAGATACTATAATACTTATCATTATTTATAGTTATCGCTTATCTGAACGGGTGGTTATGGTTCTGTTTTTGTGCAGGTGACACTATAAACTGCCTATATACTGTCAATTTTTATCAGCTGTGGTTCATGGAAATGGATCATTACATTTTGCAGCGCCATTCTATTTCATCATCACCTGTAAAAAAAAAACTATTTACCATCAATTTAAATGTATTTTTTTCTTTTAAAGCGTTGCGACATGAGTAACAGGACAGTTGATGAAGCAACCACCCGTTCAATGACACTGGCTCATAAAAAAACTAAATGGATATATGACATCTGACATGATTCATTCTCATTCCTCTAATGGTCATTTGTGTGTGAGGGTTGCACTGGCCACATACAATGTGTATGTGTGCTAGAATGTGACGGCACCAACAGTAAGATGTCTTTCCTTCAGCCAAAAGAAAATCAGGTGCGACTGCATTCTCTCTCCATGATGGCTGTTTATATAACAAGGCTCCTGCTCTGTCACAGCATTCTGTCATCCGCCGAATGTTTACACTCAGAAGTGTCTCTTATTGATTCCCACAAACTCCTCAAAGACTCACGACTCCTTTAAAGGGAAACTTTGCACACACACTAGTTGAACCATAAAAGGATCGACTTTATAAAAGGCCCCTCGGCCACACATTTGTCAGTTTTCGTGGTGTTGAACGAAGCATATGGGTAACAGAAAGACATACTCAAGAGGCAGAGATACATCGATTGTGTACTTTTGATGCATAATTAATGCAGAGTGAGTATAGCAGTTGTAGCTTCGCTAAAAAGGCTGTTTGATCTCAGGTGCATTAGTGCTGTGATAATGGATTCTGAGAGAGCAGTCCAGGTCAGCATCTGCTCCGGCTCCTGTCTATCGGCCCACTGTCAGATATCATTAATCACAATTCAGACGATTTCAGAGAACAAGACAAGAGAGGCCGGACTTAGAGAACTTGTGCATTATGGACGATCACAAGACATAAGGTCGGTGCAACTGTTAAGTCACACAAGTGCCCACTTCCACAAAACTTCAGCCAAGACTTACACTGAATCTGTTTCATTACATTTTTGTAAAAGAAATGATTACTTTTATTCAGCTAAAAAAAAAAGCATTAAAAACAGTGACAGAAATCTTTTGTAACATTATTGTTTTACTGTTTCTAATAATAAAAAAAAAAAATTCTATTTATCAAAGAATCCTGGAAAAAAACAATTGTTTGTAAAAAAAAAAAAAAAAACACAATCCTTGGTAAGGGACTTATTTTTAAAAAATCTCACCAACTCACACTTTTGAATGGTAGTGAGCATGTTTATATATAAAACGTTTCTATGGGCTTTCCAGTGGTCGATACCAATAACGGTCAACCTCCGTTATTGAGTTTAAGTTTTTGGTGAGTTTACATGATATATATTTTTCCAAAGGAACGACGTGCTGAATGATCTGAACTGTATGAACGGCATTCGGGGATTGACTTATCGAGACTATTTTCTAAGATGGCTCCTGTCCTGTCTGTATACACGAAGTGAACTGTCTTTATAAAGTATCTTCTTATTAAATGGTCTGTACACTTACAAAGTTCTCAATGCTTCGTTTTGCATGCAGGGACCCTCATTATGTTACTGTGTTAGTGTGGGGCTATTTTGACCCTTGTTAGTGGTATAAACAAGCGATTTCTTTTTACTTAGTCAATGCCCCCAGTACTAGCATTATACGCTAAACAATTTTTAGAGATAAAACTCTTTACATTCGATAATATCATGAAAACAAATCTCAGAGAACAGTTGACGATGTTTTATTAGACCAAAGGCTCATTTTGCACAAGAGTTCTCCTTTAAGAGCTTAGCCATGAATGACATAAATGGCACATATTGCATATGGACGGTATGCCAATGGGTCTTTTCCAATGCACTGTGACAGACTTGGCTGAAAAGACAGACAGACGGACAGACAGACATGGAGACTCCCCACCAGGCCAGCCAGACCCCTGCTGTTTTCTCCGTTAAGAGTCATACTTCATTACAGTCCTACAACACCCAGCAATGACCATTAATCAGTCAGTCCAACTGTGTCTATTATATATGAAGAGTTCAGATGCAAAAACCTCTAAATTTGCCATTTGAAATTTTCTTCTTTAATGATGATTTTTATCAAACTTGTATATTTAAGTTCAGTAATTTCACTTAAATAACAATTAATAGGTAATTATCATTGCTATTTAAGTGAAATCACTGAACTTAAATATACAAGCTTGATAAAAATGATCATTCTAGAAGAAAATTTAAAATGGCACTTAGAGGCTTTTGCATCTGAACTCTTCATATATATATAATATTATAATATTTTGTGGAAGCTTGAACTACAGAGTCATTTAGTGGCATTAGCATTACAATAAACAATTGCATGCTCGATTCTTTATTTGTCACAATTAGGGCCATTATACATATTGGTTGACAAACTAATCTCTTACCACAATCTCAAATCGATAAAGAGAATGTTGCCTTTCTAAACATAGAACAGTCTCCAAGATACAGACCAGTCTTAAGAGTGATAAGAGATGTAAAGCCTCTTCGCTCAGCCTTGATTTCGAGGCATGGCTGATGTTTGGGACACTTTAGCAGAAACAGGTGCTACACATGAGAGAGGTGCTGGTACTCTGGGATGTCTCCAGTGAAGACGCTGACACCTTAGACTTCCTCAAGCCAGCAGGGAGTCACTTTCCCTGCATGAAACACCCCCTACAGCCATGCACTGTGAGACTGTGTTACTTCCCCAGCTAGAAGACCTATTTATTCCCGGCACAAAATGCTCACTCCCTATTTGTGACTTACTCACATAGGAGGATTCTTCTCGCATTACTTTACCTAATGATAGCTGGGAGTAAGTTACCAAATAAACAAAAAGAAACAGAAAGCACTTCTGAATACTGAAAGCATTTCTGCATTTACAAAAAAAAACCCTAAAAACTCTTGTAGGTCCTGCTTGTGTTAAACCACTCACAACTTGGAATAGAATAGAATAGAATAAAATAGAATAGAATATTTAACTAGAAACTTACTAGAACCAATGTTTTCATTTTCAAATGCAAATGAGTTATTTAAAAATACACACAAAGCCTTAAACAATAGAATACAGAACAGAATTGAAAAGAATATTTAACTACACATTAAAAGTTACAAGAAGGCAGAAATTATCAAATGAGAACTGAACACAATAGAATTCAGTAGACTGGGGGTATAGAATGGAACACAACAGCTTGTGCAGACCAGAAATGACATCAAACTATGTGAATTATAAACAGGATTTCATAACTTTACAGATACTACATGAATGAACGCTCAATTCAATAACAGACTGAGAACTTTCTTCAAGTAGAGACTCCCTTATTGAGACCAAAAAGGAAGGAGAACATACCAGCATGATTCTGTCTGGTTGCTGTGGGTGCACTGGGAAAATAACGGTACAGGTTTCTGAGATTAATGATTCTGTTTTTGATGTTTCCTGGAAACAACACCGGAACTTAAAGTACTTTTCTAAACAGATGAACTCCCTGTACAAAGAAGAATACTGCCCACCTATAAAGAAGCTATTCTGTATCATCACACTCAGTTCATCTTTATGATGCAAACCTCATGGCTTCCAGTCATTTTATTTGTTTAAAATACTGTAACAGGATAAGGCATTTAGGCAACATTTAGCTGAAGGTGTCACCTTATCATTCAATCAGCACTTCCAGATATCACATACAGCCCTTTGTAACACAAACACAACCTTTGAGAGGCACTTAATTTACCGTGTGAAGTTAACAGAAAACTCACACTGTCCAACACTTTCTTGACACCTGCTGTGATTCTCCTCATTGATCCATCAGGACCATGTGTTTACAGTAATAAAGTCATATTTGATTCATAACCAAAACCATTATGGTCAGTTTACACTCGAAGAAGGCATTTTCAGTTCCTAATGCAATGCAACACCCACATTCGTCACATCACGACCCTTTGCAAAATTACCAAGATAAACAATAACTTCCACCAAAATACCACAAACCAAAAATACAACAAAGCAGTAGGCTACATTTTCACAAAAACTGTGTGTTAGCCAGCCAATGTCAAGAAAAAAAGGACAAGTTTTATACTAAGTGGAGAAGATCTCATATTATGATTTACAGCAGGCTCTATAACAATAACTGTGGTGTGGTATTTAGGAAGAACCTGTGGTTGCCATGGTATTTAGTAATAAAGGGAGATGTTTTAACGGAATGAAGTGCGTGTTGATAAAACAGCATATAAACTAAAACACAAGATGCTGTATGGATGACAGGACTCTCACCCGCACGAGGTTGCTGACAGCCGCTTGCACTGCCGCCACTGGGCTGGTGAGATCTGGGATCGCTTTCCCATCAACTTCGCCCTCCTCGTGCATGATAACCAAGTGAGATATCTGCTGAGCCACCGGCTCCAGGATACTCTCTATCGTCTTGGTATGGAAAACTGGCATCCTGAAATCTAAATATCCTCAACACAACTGAGAATAAGGCACGTGTTCGCTCTGTCCTGCGCTTTCCCCCGTTATTTCTTCCAAGGGCACCACGAACCAAACGTCTATATCCCACTCATGCAGCGAAATCCCTAAACGCCTCCTCAACAACCGACGCCTTCTGTGGATAACCCAAGCCAGGCGCCCGGTGAGTGCGAACGAACACACGGCTTGAAAGAGTCAGTGCTCGTAAACCAATCAGCGCAAAGGTTTCACGCAAATCGGAGCAGCTGATTGGTCGGCGCTGACGCTGTTTCCACTCTTCTCCCTACCTGGGTTAAAGAGCTTCCCTGACTACGTTATGCAGTCAGTAGCCAAAAAGGGAATGCGTCGGAATGGAATGCCAAAGTGAGGATTCCGTGGATTACATTTGATTTTAATGATAGGTAATGGTGTTAGTGAAACGGAAACAAAGTAACTGATCCTCGATGACAGACCATGCAAGCATGTCTATTCTTAGCCTGCAGCTTTTAATTCTGATCATCTGCTGATGTCTTCTTCATGTGCTCATTTCTGCATGGCAGCATGAAATGTGTCGCCGTTGGACAATTAATCTTAGTTTTAGATAATGCATTTTCATATTCATGAGATTCACAAGATAAGATTCATAAGTTCAGGTAAATCATTCTGATTATCTGATTCTCAAGAAACATTTTGGTAACACTTTTTTTCATAGTGTCTGCCTACTTCTTGTCATAGTAACAGTAAATGATGCAATTACTTGAAGCTAACCCTAAACCAAACCTTAACCCTATGCCTTAAATGTATTAATAATAACATTTGGTAATATTTTGTAATATTTATAGGCCTATATATAGGTTGACACTGTAAAGCGTATTTCCTTGAGTAGGCTACTGTACTTGCATGACTACACTTTTTAATCAACTCGAGTATTGTTTTTTAAACTTTTTTTCTGTCAAGGTCCTTGAACTTGCACACATTGCACATAACACACACACACACACACACACACACACACACACACACACACTCAAATTAGGAAAAGATAGGGACTGATGAGATGTGGGGGAAGGGTATCTTATATTATATTATCTTATTATATCATATTTTATTTTATACAGGATTGACAATGGCAATTGTTACATAGGTAGAAGCATGGAATTAAAAATCTACCAACACAATATGGGCAGTATGGTGGTAGTGGGGAGTGGGATGGTGATGGTGATGGTAATGACAATGGTAATAAATAACAAATGGTTACTTTGTTTACGCATACACACACATACACATACCCACACTCACACCCGCTCACATACACACTTAGATCAAACACTTAAATCACTCTTGCCACTGCTGGAATTATGGATTTACAAGATTGCTCACTACTGCACTGGTTTGTTTGTATGTATGTCTGACTGTTAAATAAAAAAAAAATAAATAAAAAAAAAGTAGTAACATCAGTCAGGGGGCGATTTTGGTGGCATGGGTTGCATTTTGGTTGGAAATGAAAGTCGTGTTGACGTCAGAACCCAACGTCTGATTGAGAGTCAGAACCCAATATCAGATTGACATTGGATTTTGGTTGGAAATGAAAGTCGAAACAAAAAGTCGATTCTCATTTTCAACCACAATACAACATTGGTCCAACGTTGGAGATTGACGTCAATTTGACCAACCTGATTTTCATTTTCAACATTGGGCTTGGTCTTGTTTTGGAGCACACTAGCTTATAGACAAAATATTCATACTAAAAGCCTCATTGAGACTTTAAATAGGGCACTATTTTCACATTTAATCACAGTTTTTAATCCATTTTAATGTGTCCTCGCTGAATAGAAGTATATATATATATATATATATACATTGGGTTCATTGGGTTCTGACGTCAGACATTGGGTTCTGATGTCAACACGACTTTCATTTCCAACCAAAATGGAACCCATGCCACCAAAATCGCCCCCTGACTGATGTTACTACAGTACTTTTTTTTTGTTTTGTTTTTTATTTAACAGTCAGACATACATACAAACAAACCAACATAGTGCAGTAGTGAGCAATCTTTTAAATCCATAATTCCAGCAGTGGCAAGAGTGATTTAAGTGTTTGATCTAAGTGTGTATGTGAGCGGGTGTAAGTGTGGGTATGTGTATGTGTATGTGTGTGTATGCGTAAACAAAGTAACCATTTATTATTTATTATATATATATATATATATATATATATATATATATATATATATATATATATATATATGGCTAAATCTTATACTCACAGAAAACACTGACTTCAGCTTCTGTAAGTGATGTGCATATTGTGTATAGCACTAGTTGGGTTACATTAAATGGTTAAAGCATAAAGACTATGTCAAAACAATGTAGAAATTCTTAATTTGAGGGGAACGCCTGGACACTCAATATATTGCCCACATTTGGTTTAGTCTAATACTTTAGATGATGAGTTTAGAGACAAGAATAAACATTTATTTAAGAGAGACTGACTCCCCATAAAGAGACATTCTGTTTGCAGGCAAAAGACAGGGCTTCATTTAAATATCTGTTAGGACATCTGTGGGAAAGTAATGTATAAAGTCATCATGTATAGATAATTCAAAAGTTAGATCTTTAGACGAGTAAGGCTATATTGTGACTTTGTTTCAGATACCATTCAGCACTAGTAAGGAAGAACCCACAAATCAACTGTAAGGTTACCAAATAAGGAGAGATTTCAGATAGAGGAGCACAGAGAAGAGCTTTGCAACACTAATAAGGAATATTGTTTATTATACAAGCAGCTGCCATTGAACCTTGTTAGTGCAGTGACTAGAGGATGCTTCTTTCACATCAAGACGATGTCTGCAGCCTCTCAATGTTTCAGACTTGACAGGAGAACTACTGCTTTGTGCTTTTAAACTCTTTTAGACATCAAAATATGTCAGACAGTTCACACTTCAAATAACCTTATGAAAAATTGTATTCAATATTTTCAGTATGTCTCTCCACCATTTCAATCATGAGTTTTATTTGTACAGAAAATATAAATGGAAACCACTGACTGATTATTACGGGATTTAGATTAATGGTCACCATTATAAATTGCAGTTCTAATACTGGTGTTGAAACGCTTTGTATTGAAATGGAACGGTGCAGAACCCGCCCCATTACAGCCAAGTTGAATAATGCTGTGCTCAGCAATTTCATGTCATCCAGTCCTACTGCTGACTAGTCCATATTCCTGTTGCTGTGGATACCTTTTTTAATGAGAGGCTGGAATATGCAATGAAGAGATCTGAGATGACAATAACTTGTCTACAGTTATTTCCATGAACAGATTTCAAGCCATCCTTTATTGCTGCCCAGTACAAAGTGTACAAAATAATAGTAGGGAAAACTTGGGTGTCTAAGTAAAAGTACTGTATTTGATATCAAAGTAATCCAGAACGCACATACCATAGAGATATAAAGAAAGGTTAGACTGAAGAGACGCACTTAAAATAAATTCAATAATTTTTCTAATGTAGCAGCACCCTCCGATGTTCAGTGAGAGTCATTACAGCACTCAAAACCGTGCACCTGATGCTATTGTCATGAAACAGAAGGATTCACACATCCATAAAGTAATCAACAACAGGTTTATTTGCAGAAGTATGTACGACGGAAGCAGGTGAGTAACTGATGAATATTCAGGATGGATATCTGGATGAGTATTGTGAGTCTTATCTGTTGCAGGTTCTGAAATGTAGGAATGGCTGACGCGAAAATGACATTCCGAAGCTTTTCGAGATCCCGAAAGACAAATGTTTCGAAACACTGATTTTTGGTGATAGTGACATTTATAGTGCGGTTTGTTTAGTTATAGGCTTACATTTAAATTTACACATTGACTGATACAATCAGACACAGGCCTATACATAATAGTGAGGCCTATACATTATGACACAGGCCTATACATTATGTACAAGTCTATAGATAATAGTGAGACATTGATAGATAGATGCATATATAGAAATACAGACAAATATAGATAGAGACATAGATAGATACATAAAGATAGATAGATAGAGATAGATAGGCTATAGATAAATAAAAATGGAGGCTCCAGAAGAGATGCCGTACATCTGTGGTGTGTGAGCATTTCCATTTTGAAACCCCAAATAAAGTAAGATGTATGTATTGTGATCGGCGGCTAGCCTACTCTGCAATTCTACATCATTCATGATACGCCATCTGAGGAGCACTCGTCCTGCCTTTTTGCAGGGTGCAGAGGATGGAAGCATTCCCCCTGTACCACTACTGGGTCTAAGCAAGAAATGTATTGTTTGGAAATATAATTATAATTGAAATATAATAACAAACTTTTGGGACACTGTTTAGAAAGTCCATTGGCCTTTGTCAACCTAATCCCTACAACCTAAATCTCAACTGCCAATCAGGTTAAAAACAGCTTTACTGAGAATATAATATGTTTTGTGAACATACATTTTATTGGTCTATATATGAGTACCCAATCTACATCATTTTAGTTTTCCTAATAGATTTATGGATCAAAAATATCTTGGCATGCCAGCATCTCATGTGAGAGAATTGTTTCAAAGGCCTGTCTGTAAAAAAAGAATTAGGCTAAGTCCTTCGAAGAGCAGAGAAAATAATATTTTTGAATAAAAATCATGAATTAAAATTGAATTAAAAAAAGTGAAACATTGTGGCTTGATTTCTTTTATCAATATTAATTTTGCATGACCAAAATAACATTATGCACAGTGAGGAGCCTACAGGTTACAAGCTTCACATATTAGAAAAACACAATATTAAAAAACAACAACATTTTTTTTTTTTTTTTGTAATGGCATGGTTGTTTCAGATCAACACCTGCAAGTGACCACTAGGTGTCCCCGTTGAGATGTCGGATTATTACGAAGACTCGACACAATATGGCACATTTGCTTCAACTGTTTCATTGTTTCGCGAAGAAGCCTCGATCTGCCCACCACTACTGAAACGGAGATTGAGGCAGATGACTGAGGCAAATTGTACTAGTCAGGTTATGGTTCTTTTAAAGTACCAGACAATGGTGAACTGCAGTGGGAAGTGCTGGACCATGATCTCTGTGGTTGGGAAGTGCATGCAGGTGAGGGCCAGAGAGGATATTGGGAAATGTAGTGAGGAGGTGTTGACTAGCTGGTGATCATGACAGCTATAA